ATGTAAAGAAACAGAGGCAATTGTTTTCTTCTCTTGCATTGTTTGACACTTAAAATTTTAATCCATCAGTCCTGGGATGTTTAATAGCTTTGGTGAAAGCAGTCTTAAAAGATTACATAGTGAAATGATCCTTTGTCCCTGTTGACCTATAATGCACGTTTGAGTTTGAGTATACAGTGTTGAAATGTCAGTTTAACCCTTATATTTAGCAGTATAAAAATAATGCTTGATATCTCACTTGGAACATGTTTTTGAAGAAGAATAGACCACTGTTATACCCAGTGAAGCTAAAGTGAGGATGCAGTGCTGATTATTCAATAACTGTTAAGCAGTCTTTAAATGTGGTTTTGATGCATAATTAAGACACATGAGCTTTAAGAAATAGGGGCAGAGGTTGTTGTAGGGCTCGTGTGCAGTTGCTAAGTATGACTACGACAGCAACAAAATAGATAGGCTTACTACTGTTGTTACAGAGCAAGAGGTTGCCTTCACGGGCAGCAAACATTGATTGCTGTGCAGCAGCAGAAAAAGAAGGATGGGTGTTTGCACAGCACCATTGGCACACAGCACTCAGGCTGGGGACACATCCTTCCAGCACCTTCCCTGACCCTACTGAGCCATAGTTCCATCAAGCCCAGCTCCTCATCTTTTGACCCAAGAAGTCATAAACCAGATCTTGTATGCTGTATTGTTCCTTGTGAATTTTGATTTACTCCATTACTTCAGCAGAAAAGCTCCGAAGTGCCTTCAGGAGGCTTGAAAATGAGCTTACCACCCTGTCCTCCTTTTGCTTGTCATCAGCTGCAAGCAGGGCCTTCTTGTGACTGCTGTCATCCTTGGGGTAACAGCAGCCTCTCCCCTGAGAAAACTGCTTTCCCTGGTGGTGCATGGATAATATTTCTAGAGCTATAGTTATCCATAAAGGAATGTATTATCACACACTTGTTATGTTTGTCTTTCTGATACTTACATGGTGAATTCAGTATGTTAATAGCTATAATAAGAAACACACAAGTAGACAGGCACGGGCTGTCTACACTAAACTTTTGTTTAGTGTAGATAATGAGAACAAATAGAAGCTGCTACTAATCAGTATGCCTGCTAAATTTAGCTTGAATTTGCCCTTATATTAAAGGATTTAAAATTAATTATTAATTGGATTGTTAAAGCCAGCAGGCAATAAATGCAATGGGATCGGTTGTTCTGGCTGGTTTATCCATAGTTGCCCACTACTGTATGTGAGACCACAAACACCTGCCTGTAGGGGACGTAGATAGAGAGAGAGTTTTAATACTAAAGCAGAGCAGTATCCTTGCCCAACCTTATTGTCACACTTGCTCATTCCTGGCCCAGCACCAAGTTCAGGAGGTCCCACTTTCCTTTCCAGTACCAACTGCCTGGGCTAGTTGGGCAGGATGTTGTGTTGGCTCCTGCTGTGCCACTGCTCACAGGTGCCTGTCTCAGGCATCCCCTGCCAAGGCCCCTTGGGGCCTTTGGCACTTATTTCCATCCATCTCCTGGACCTCCAGGGTCTTCCCCACTTCCCACACCTCTCCTCTAGCCAGGATCTTCACCTTCTTTCCAGACCTTCTTTTCCTTTCCAAGGCTTCTTGTTTTCGGGAACCTTCCTTGTAAGCATCTCTTTTGACTCAGAATTCAATATCAGTAGATAACATGGAACAGGAACACGTTTGTGTTGCTGTTTTATTACTTGAGTTCCAAAACCTCATTGCAATATAAGTAACAGTTACAGTAAAAGCAATAGGGTCTGTTTTTAACATCTTAGTGAGTTGATTAGGTATGCAGTTGCCAGATAGATCACCATCACATCTTGAATATGCGGTATAGCTGCAGTAACTATGCATTCAAATTTATTTTAGTGAACCTAACATAACCATGGGCCCAATCCTGCATCATTTATTTCTTTAAAGACAATTTCTTTCTTCATGCACAAATTCTACATTTGTTACAATGGACCTATTTGTGAGAATAATGCTACTTCCCTGATCAAGTACTGCAGATCAAATTTGTATACAGGGATGTTAATGAAAAACTTTGTGTGACAGTTATAAGTATATTGGAGATGTGCAAACATCAGTTTGCAAACATAACATCACATTCTAAAGTAGTGACCAGAGTATTCATTATTTTAAATTATTTAGTTTAAAATTAAATTTTGTCATTGTTGATGTGTTTCTGAAGGCAATTTTAGTTTCATATCATGGACTGTTCTCACTGGCATGTATGGCAGTTGTTATTGAGGCTAGCTCCCTTTTCTCTTATTCATGCTGCAGATTTGGAAGTGTGTTTTAACCCTGGTAGGCAGCTAAGCTCCACACAGCCACTCACTCCCCTGAAGTGAGATGGGGGTGGCTGTATCTCAGCCAAAAGCAGTAGTACATCAGGTTGAACCATACTCTTTAATATGACCAGGCAAAAGTTTCCATCTCTATCTGATTAGCTGTCTCTGACTCTACTCACAAAATCTACTCATAAACCGCATTTAAACCTGCCATATTTTTTTGATTCTTAGGTTGTAGCTCAGGATGTACCCAGACAGTGAGTAGTGCTTGAGCCCCCAGGAGAGGCTACTTTGGGAACTGGAAACACTGTTTCAGGCAGGCTTAGCGTCGTATGGGGGAGCCTAATTGCTCTCAACCCAGCAGTGAAATTGAGCTACCATTAATGTCACTCAGTAGATGTTCCTAAAAATGGGGGGTTGCCTAATCTTATTGCTGAACTTGGAAAACCAAATATTTATTGAAAACAGAAATCCTGAAGTTTTTCAACTTTACTGTTGCAATGCCAGGCATTTCCAACTGGTAACTTTTAGTAACTCTCATTTGTCTAGCAGATATATAAACTGTACTTTTTAAAGTTGAATAATCATAACATTTTCCTTACTAAAAATGCTTGTCACTTGCAAATCTCATAGTTAATGTACTATACCATTATCATTCCACCATTCCTTTTTAACACATAAAGAAACTGAGGCACAAAGAGGCTAATTGGCTTGCCTGTGGTGGTCACCTAGCTGGCTGAAGCAGAAGCAGAACTACAACCCAGTCTGTGATGATGCCCCATTAATTCCCTTCATTTGAGGTACACTATCTTTCAGTTTGTTCTTCTCATTGTTGGTAAGGTACAGCTGCCAGTTTGCTAAATTGAGGACAAAAAGTCCATTTCTGATTCTAAGACAGATTTATAATTTTAGGTGACAAGTGAGGAAGTCAATGCACATATTTTTAGGTGTCTGAAAAGTAAATATCTTACCTAAGCTAATGTTATGGGTTCCTTTTCTAACCAGAAGTGAAAGAAAGGTGCTTGAAGGGATGTGATTCATCTTATTTCAAATAGGTGTCAGTTGAGATGAACCATACTAAGAGAAGCCTGAGTCTCTTCATTCATTAACTATTCAAAATTCCTAGACAGCTGCTGAGGCTACGAGGCATGATGCTTAACAAATAAAAACTGGCACATTGACTCTAAGCCCAAAACGAGGTAAAACCAAAAGGGAGTTTTTATATGTGTGCATGACAGTTCTTCCCTGCAGACATACATACTGCTATCCAAGTCTTTCCTTTATTGTTCTAAATAATCTGAAAATGTGATGACAAATTAAAATGAGAGATAATTTTATGCATTTTCACCTGTGGCTCACATTATTGCTAGTGGAAACCAGCAAATAATAAATCTGCTCCATGATATTCCATGAAGAAAAATGTGAAGAACAAGGAAAAAATACCTCCCCCCCCAAAAAAAACCTATTTTTTTTTGAGGAAAAAAAAAAATGTAGCAAACTCTGCATCACCATCATACTTTGGCATGGCTATGCCATGTACCTATCTTGGGATAAAAATAGAAGTTGGATTTCTTATGAAATAAACTTTTCTTCTTGAAAAAGTGGGAGATAAAACTGCTTCAGTTTCAAATTAAATATTAAATCAATTTAAAAAATAGGAATGAAAGGTCCTTTTGAAATTAAAATTTTTTTTTGTTTGTTTTTAAAGAAAATATAAAGAATGACTTAATTTTTCCAGCTAAAGTAATTCCAAAATTTTTAAATTATTTTTTAAATAACTTCATTAGAAAGAATCTGTTGATCTGAAAACTCACTATGTGACTGGAAAATTTATCTCTGCTTGAATTAGAACGTGAATATGTTGGGTCCAAGATAATATCATGGATTTACCCTACCTACTTACATTATGATGAACATAATTTCCCCCAACTTTTTCTAAAAGGACAATTATATATGCAATTGAAAAATAGATATGTACAGGAGATCAGAGCTGCATAGCACTGGCCAGCAGTTTGCATTCAGTTTCCTTGACCTTCACAAATTCAGACCCCCAAATGACAAATACATGACCCTCACAAATGAGATAATAGTGAGTAAATTCTACTTGATATTTGAGTACTCACATAGTTTCAGAACTGTAAAATCACCCCAGGGTAGAGAGGTTGATTATCTGACAGAACACATCAAGGAAAGATCTCACTCTGTCCTATAGGACAAAGTGTTATTTGAGGTCTTCTGTCATGCTCATTAAGAGGGCTTGACTTTTTACTTAAGTGGTGGTGTTTGCTTGCTGTGAGTCACAAAAACTTTCTGTTCTTTTTTGTATGTGACCTTAAGTAACATTGCCACTCAATGCATAGCTGTGGCCTTTGCTGCCAAACTTAAGTTTGCTTAGTTTGCATGCTTTCAGTGTTTAAAATATCCCAGTAATTCCATTATTTTCTGAATTGGACTCTAGTTCCTTAGTGATGACACTGCTGGAGACCAGCCATGGCTTCATGAGGCAAAGGATAGATCCCGCAGGGAAGTGAACTTCAGAGCCTCTTCAGGGACTCCACCCCCAAATGAAGAGGCTCTGAAGAGGCAGCAGGTTCAGAGTAACTTTTCTTTTCTTTTCTTTTCTTTCTTTCTTTCTTTCTTTCTTTCTTTGTTGTGCTTTCTAAATAAATCCATTCTCTCAAACCCATGTTCTCCTAAGCACCAGGATTTGTGTATGCAAGTGGTATGTCCAGAGAGCAAGAGATACCAACTACTGAGTCTTCCTCTGGGTTCTTAAATTGGCAGCCATGTAACGGTCTTAGAGGTAAGGTGCCTTTTGCGCAGCTTTAGAAGGTGATGATGATTGTGTTCTTTTCTTGGTGGTTGTGATGTTTCTCTAGTCCATACATCTGTGAGTCACTGGAAAATGTTGCTGAGTTATTCTCTGACATTTCTTTCCTTATCTAGAGCTCTTATGGCCTCAGTTCTGTTCTTTATGTTCCTGACATTGTCTCTTTATGGCTTCACTTTGCTTTAGTCAGTGTCTTGCTAAAGTGTGGCTCTGCCCTATCTTCTTTAGGGCTGCTTTCCCTTTCCTGACCTAAGTCTCTTGGGAAGCCACATGTAAATGCATTGGGATCTTGATGACCTGCTAATCTATGTGTCATGAATCTCCTTTTCTGCCCTCCACCATTCCTTATAGATGTCCTACATATATAAATTCCCACTTGTATTTCATCCATACTGGTCTTAAGGCTTCTATTATTTAACTCTGCTTGACAGAGCCGAGACCTAATCTTGATGAGATTCTCTCCCTTCACTCAGTTTTTATTGCCACTTGAGTGGCAGCTAGGGTACCACAGAGTGAGATGCAGTTGCTGTTTTGTTGATAGAGCAACGAAGACTGATCTGAACCTGTCTTGTCTTCTTTCATTAGTGGGGGATATTTTGGTTGAAGGAAAAAATGTGATGGAGAAGAGACAGGAGGTGTCCTTCACTGACATATAGACACCAGCACTAATGGGGCTGTAGAGTCTCGATCTGTCTTGGATCCAGTCTGTTAGGCTTGATTTTGTCAGAGATTAACCTTGTTGAGCAAGATCAGGCTGTGGGTATCTCAGCAGCAGCCAGTGGGCATCCTCCTGCATGAGGTATGGGTAATTTCACTCATCCTCTGTAGAAGAAAAAGCATTAAAGCTTTTTGCTGTTTGGAAGTACAAAAGAAATTTTAACACTAAGTTATGTCAGTTTTCTTTTAATCTAAATTAAGAGTTATGCTTAAAATCTAATTGTTTTGACAATACAATAGTGTTTTATAGAGACTTTGACATGTTTGCTGCAATAATTTATACTCTTAAGGAGACTAGAAACTAAGTTATGCAGAGAAAGAGTGATTCTTCAGACACTGTAACTTCCACAAGAACGCTAAGCTTGCATCTCATGACATGTCCCTCCTGTCCCTCCCAAAGAAATCTTCAAATCCAAATATCAATCCATTCTCAGTTGTAACTGATAAAAGCTGGACTAAGAGAACTGCATTTGTGTAAATGAGAATAATTTTTCCTCAAAAACAGAAATTGAAAAATAAATCCCTCCTGAATTCTGAAGACAACAGTATGATAACTATAGAATGCAAAAGGGTTATAGTAGTCTAAATTCATTATCTGACATTAAATCCCCATGAAAATATTTTCTTTTTATTTATATGTCACTCATGCAGGAGATAGCAAAAAGAAATTCCCGCAGCCTCATTGTTTCCTGATCTTTAGGTGAATCTTTAGGTGACTTTCAAATAGACTGACTTTTTTCATTCTAACATTTATATATAATTGCATGTTGTTGTGCTTTTTTGTTTGTTTTTAATCTGAATTCATAGTAAACTGCTTTTAAAAGTGGATTTATTTTGTGAAAACAACCTGACAGTGAAAGGTTTAAGACTTTCAGCTAACTTAGAGCTCTCTACAGGAAGCTCATCTCTTTGGCAAAATCTTTCTAATCTTTCATATGGCATTACTGAAAAAAAAGTAAATATACTATGCCCTATAGCTTCAGTGAAACTCAATCTAATGTAATATAATGATATAAAAGTGGTGGAAACTATAAATTTATCTTTTATATCATAGGGGTTTTTCTTTGTTTTTTTTTTTTTCATAAACACTAACTTTAACCTTCATTTATTTGCCAAGAGCTTCGATTTAGGTCATATAAAAATATCCTGCTCATCACTTGTTGCCCAAGCATAGCTCAAATTGAAACATGAGCTACAGACTCATGCACCAATATATATATATATATATGTAAATAAAAGGCAGACTAAATTGGAGAGGCGTTTAGTATTGGGATATTTAACTGCAGCTGTACCAATCAGAGGTGTGGCATATAACTGCCTGTAAATGCCAAGCACACACCAGATGCAAGCTTGAGTTGCTCTGGCTATACTTTAATAAATGCCATTTCATAGTAGCAGCATAGCTGCCATGCAGCATAGGCAGGTCTATTGTATTATCTCTACTTGATGAACAACATATCCATTTTGAAGAATTGTGACAATTGTCTATGTAATAATTATTGTAATAATGGAAAATATTCAGCCTGGGTGTGATTGATGAATGGAAGAAGTTAAGGTGTCTACAAAAAGTAATGAGTTTTAGTGTAATTCATGCCCAGCAGTACAAGAAAATACATTACCACATTGTCTTTCATAAAATTATTTTTAACCATCAGAAAGGTTTAGAAATGAAAGAGAAATAACTGGAGGACACAGACCATCAAGTAATTTAGTGTTGAATGTCAGACTGCAAGTAGGCATTGTTTCTTCTTGCTCTGAGCGCACATTTAACTTTCATAGCACTTTCTGGGATTTCAAAGTAATGTTTCTGAATTTTAAATCTTCTATGAAATAAAACACCACCAACATTCACATTTTACTGATTGAAGCTGCAAGCCTACGAAGTCCAATTTTCTTTTCCTCTGTGAGCATTGGACCAGTGAAAAATGCAGCTTAAACTGACAGGTTTATTTTGCATAAGAATAAACAATATAGGCTATGAAGAAGCAGAGAATGAACCACAGCAAACTGTGTGTATAACTACAGTGTAACCAAAACCAGAGGATCTATTCTAATATTTTAATGTCTAGATCTTTTAAATTCCAATAGGATAGCATCTCTGAGACTCTAAAAAAATGGAAAAATAAAAGTTTTTATATATGTGTAGTCTGTTTTTTTAGAAGTAATTGCAAACTTCTAGTGAGACATCAAACAACAGCTTTACCACTTCTTAGGCAACTGGGGGTACACTACTAGCCATGTGGATTGTATATGCACTAAAGATATCCACCTCTGAAATGCTTGTAGGTTAGTATATTTGACATAACGATATCATTTGACATATTTATATCATCTAGTCTTCACTGTTAACCATTAAAAGCAACAAACAGTTTTAGTGTCAATAGGTCTGTATCACCATTGCTCAACAAATTCAGTGGTAGGAAATAATTTGAAAATTCAGGGTGTTTTGTTATATGTTGGATCAAGACCATAGTTGGTAATATTTTTTTGACCACTGTCTCTTAGATATCTTTTGTTTATTGCAACTCCTAAAACAGGCAGTAATACAATGGTTCTCTTTATCAGCTCTCAGATCTTTCTTACAGTTTAGTTTTAAATAGGATGACGGTTGATTAGTTTAATTAGTCATTACTTAATGAGGGCAGAGCCTGCCCAAAAGAACTACATCAAAACACCTGTACCAAAAAGTAGGAGAACAAAGAATAATTGTTTTTAAGTTTCTCCTAAATACTGTGATCCATTATACAGGATTCAATTCTATCTAATCTTTAAGACTGAATGTAAACCAAGATTATAAAAGAAACTATGACATTTAGGCTTGCACGGATGTCAGCAATATCCATGGAACTATTTTCTGATCTTTTGATACTTGCAGGCTTTTTAATTGTTGCTAAATATTTCTCCTCTTTATGAAAAAAAAAAAAACCTAGATAAATAGCTTGAGTCCATACCTACTCAAGTTCAAGAGTCCAAAGAGGTCAGGAACAATTATTCATTAACATTATCATCATCATTAGACCACAGCAGCTAATTCATGGAACTGCACACTGTTTATGGACATCACGCTGTAGATCTAATTCCCCTAGTATTGTGCATTTCTGTTTCCTTTGATACAGAACTACAGCCTATATGGATAAAGCAATAGCATAGTCATTCACTCAAAATGTAAGTATTTTATACTGAATCACAAAACAGCTGTGTCTGGAAAGCACATCTAGGTATCACCTAATACAAGCACCCTCTTCAAAGCAGGGTCAGTGACAGCTGTGTGCCTGGGGCTGTGTCCTGTTGGGTCTTGAACGCCTTCATGGACAGAGACTCAAGAACCTCTCTGGGCAATCTGCAATTTTGCAGTGTTTATAAATATATGGAAACATTTAAGATCAAAATGTGCTTTATTTTATACATGCAGTTGAACATTAGTAGTGAGCTGCATTTTTCAGTTCTTGATTGAGCAGCTATAAAACATTTTGCAAGACTAAACAGGGAGCAAAACCAATGTAGCCCTTGCTGCCATGTTAACATCTTTTTTCTGACAGCCGATCCACATATGATGTTAATAAATCTAAATAACCATTAGAGGGCTTAGTTATTTAACACAAGCAATAAAAATTATCGGCAGAAGATTACCAGTTTAAACCATGTGATTAGTCCAAGAAAGTTTCAGTAGACCACCTCCTTGCATTGGGACACAAGTTTACTTAGGCTCCTGAGAAATTGTGTATGCTGTTGTAAGATCAATCTGGTCCTAGGTTTGAATACAAACTAATCTTTTTTTTCCACATTATTAAAACTTTCTACCCAAGGTAGTCAGGTAATTCTTTCAAGCACTTTCATCCCCAGGCTGGTAGAAGTTACTTCTTAATAGTCCCAGGCTCCCCAGTGTTAAAAGCAGATTTCAAGTTTCACCAGTACTCAGCTTCTATTTTACAAGCTGTTAAATGGCTAGTCAAAATGTCAGAAGGGAAAATCAGTTCTGCAGAGTTTCAGGTTATATTGTTATTTTTTAACAGATAACAGTCCTACATATGCCTTAACCAAAATAATAAATGTTCACACTTTACTAGTTGCTAAAAAGGGCCTGGCAATCTTGAACAGCATTAAGATGCATGTGTGCATGTGTTAAGTGTGGTAATATAATACAATACAACAAAATTCCCCCCCTCTCCTTCCTGTGAGGCTTTTGGTGAAATGTGGACTATACTGTATCAAAGTACACTCGATTTTGATAATAACTCCAACTGTGGCCAGTAATATGCATATGGAAGAACATATGAACACATTAGGCTTCTTTCTCTCTTTCGGTGCAATAGGACTAACATGTTTTTTAAGGGAAAGGATGGTATTAATCTAGCTAAATGCCAATATCTCCATGGCAGTTACAAATGCATTTTGTTCTCTTTCTGGAATAATCAGGTTTTAATCAGTGGAAAATTATAAAATTATTCTGATACCAGGTTCTAAATGTCGCCATAAAGTAGATACTAAAAAGACTGAGCAAATCATGTGTGTCAGCACACCTAGTGGAGCAGGGAGGAGGCCTTGACGTACAAAGCTGATCTGCTGACTGTGGGAGCTGATATTGCTAAAAATAAGTCATTGCTCACCATAAATGCAGGATGTACTTGTCCCAGCAAAATTAAGGGGAAAAAAAAGCTAGAAAAAAATACAGATTTGAATATCAGGGCTATTACTTGTTCTTCCTTGGTAGGCAGGGATTTGTTTTTTGTCTTCTAAAGTGGTGATTTGAAGCATACAAAGTTGTGGAAATGTGGATAAAATGTCCTGAATATAGAAGACCAGCTACAGAATGTGACTGGCTTTTTGGCAAAAACCATTTATTTCATCAGTGTCCTGTGGCTTTTCAATACTTTTTTTTTCTTTATTAGACTCGCATTCACCCCTTAAGGTTTTCTTTGTAAGATTACTTTTTTTTCAAGCAGAAAATATTTAGTAGTTACTCCTTAAGAAAAGAAAAATCAGCTTCTTGCCTAAAAACTTTTCCTTAGATCTCAGGACTATCAGTCAGATCAATTAAATCATGTTTAAACTGCTTTGATTTTAAACATTAATGAATCTGCGAGGCCGCCAATAAAAATACCCCCTATATGCTGACAGTTTAAATGGATCTCTATGTGAGCCAAGGCTGTTGAGATTCAATTTCCTTTCGGTTTGCTGCTTTGTTCATGTGTGCTTGGCCTTACTGACCAAGTGAGTGACTGCTGTGTTTCAGCAGTCAAACTCTCACCAGTGGAAATTAGGCTTGAATTCCACATCCCAGTGCTGCAGTGGTACTCAGCCAGGCTGTTCCTGCCGGTCTTTTAAATTTAACCAAGTTGTTGATGATAGCCTTACTGCTCCCCTGGTAAATTTTCTCCTGAAGCCATGCAAGGAGATGTGATAAACCTAGGACAGTACTGGGTGTGTTTTGTCAACAAAGCTCTTTTCTACAAAAGGATGTTAACCACTATCTGAGCCATCTAAAACTTCCCACTTTCGTTGTTGCTCATTGCCAATTTATAGAAGTGGCGGTTTTCTTGTCTTACTCAAGTGGTTTATATTGTTGTACTCAACATCCTATACCACAATAGCATTATGAGGGCACACATTGACAAGGAAACAAAAATAACTTCAGTTACTTCCTTTCTAGAAGCCTTCTAAAGAGAGAGTGCATGCTGTTATATTTGTATGGCAGAAAATCAGGGGGAGATGCTTTTATTCATAATTACTGTTGCTTTATTCCAGAGGAACTGAACTTAAAACCAGATCTGCTCTAACAAGCAAAAGAAAGATCATGTTTTGAATGATGGCTGGTAAATGAAAGGGGCTAAATTTTAGGAAAAGGCAAATCTATTTTGGCATTAAGCAGCTGGCTTCACTGTCTTCTGAGCATCACTTTTTAGTCATTCTGCACAGTGTGTATTTCTGTAAAATGCTGCAAACAAAATCATTACTTCTTTCTGACTGAAGTTAAGAGAATATCTGGTATTTCAAACCCTAATTTACAGAATCCTATGAAAAATTTTGTAATGTAAAGTTATAGTCTTTATTTCTCATATTCTTTCATTGTCAAATATTTTCATCTGGTTTATTCTGAGTCTCATTATATTTTATTTAGCATCATTTTTTCCTATAAGTTTGTCTCCACATCTCACTTCATTATTTTTCCCATTTGTTACATACAACAGCACAGGATTTTGAAATAAAAATATGACCCAGGTGAAGACTTGGTTTTATCTGTGTAAGTGGTAGCAAGCTAAGTGTTTGTGGTTTTCCTTGCTGTGTGGATAATGTGTTTTTAGGTGTTTTGTAATACATTGCTTTTAGTGGACTATTAAGGATTCAATATCTTGTCCCATTAAGCAATATTTTTTCTTAGAGCTGGAGGTTTGAATTTTTGACATTTGTACATTAGTGAGAAGTTAATCTCTTTGGAGTCATCATTATGACTAACCACATCAAAATATGAATGCACTTCTCAGAACCTGAGTTATAACTCCCAGGTATCAATTCTGCAGTTTGCTTTTCATAAGCATTTTACAGTAACCAAAAGATTTCTTATCTTATCAGAATACAACTCACATGATTTATAGGCCTATGATTTATAGACTCTGTCAATACTGAGCATAAAACTTCCTTATAGCGATACCTTGCTCCATACCAAATCTCCTGGCCCAGTCTTTGGACACTTGGAAGACACAATGTGTTAGACCAGTATTCAGTATTTTTCAGCCTGTTATCATAGCTCTGTTCCTACCTACTATAATTAATTATGTTCAGCTGTTTTGTCACTTTTTCATAAGAAAAGATATGGAAGAAAAATTTAAACCTTAATATTTCCATGCTTATATTTGAAATGTTGAAGTACATTTTTCATTTAAAATCAGTTAACACAGCTGCTTTCATCTTGTATTTTCCTAACTGACAAAGTGACGAAAATATATTTGAATGACCAAATCACATTCACAAATTTAGTTCCTCTCCAAGGCTCAGCTTCTTACCAGCAATGCGCCATTGTAGGGAACAGCTATCTTCCAAAACCATGGCTGGCCAGGACATGTCTGATATATAAGATGATTTGTTTTCTTGCTGTGTTGGTAGGCCTGCATGTTTTTGATATTGCAAAAGTTTTTCAATGTCATGCAACCCAGACTGTGGAGAGTGCATGTATAGTTTGAATCAGAAAGGAATTAATCTTCTGTCTTTTTTCAACAGGTAAGTTGTAGCTAATGGGACAGTAACATTAAACAGCCTAATCTGTGTGAAGTAAAAGGGCTTTGCTGATGTGTTGTGCCGTTTAAACAGCATTCACTGAATGTCACATCAAATCTTGTCAAAGCTTTCTATGTGTTGCCTGTGTCAAAATTTGAGCACTTCACCTCATGTTGTTTTGCCTTCCTAGGAATGCAGGTGCTGGAATGGAATGGCATCCCCTTGACTGGGAAAACTTATGAAGAAGTCCAAAGCATTATTATTCAACAGAGTGGGGAAGCAGAAATATGTGTAAGACTGTGAGTTTTTCCCCATCTTTCTGTTTCCATTTTTTTTTGGCTTTTCATGGCTTTTTTATTTCTTTTATTTTTTTAATTTTTAAATTTACAGTTGTTAAGGTGGAACCTTTGTTAACACAAAGCATCAATTTAACAATTACCAAGAGTTCATTGTGAGTGTGGGAGGTCTGTTCTTTTGTTTTTTGCCTTTGAAGTCATAAGGAGAGATAAGCTCAGGCAGATATTAGTAATTATTCTTCTTTAAACAGTATCTCCATTGTCAGGCCACAATCTGCTCTCATTGACACACATACAATTCACTGAATTTGCTGGAGTTAGAAAAAGATGGTAACTTAGCTCTAACGACTTTTACTGAAATCTGTGTGCTTTATAGTAAAGTAATTTAAACATCATGAAAAATGTATAAATTTGCATCCAAGCCATTAAAGATTTCACCTTAAAAGAAAACTTTTCTTCTCAGCTCTTTGACAGCATTGCAAATATGTATCAGCTAAGAAGGGGGCATGCTTGGGAGCTGCTTTCTGTCATGAACCACTATTCATTTATCTACTTAGTACAATAATGAGGGTATGAGGAAAGAGTTTCTTTTGTCTCAGGCTTCTTATTTCTTTCTTTAGGGACCTGAACATGCTCTCCGACTCTGAGAATCCCCAGCACCTGGAGCTGCATGAGCCAGTAAGGGCAGGTGAGTGACAAGCTGCTGCTTTGGCATTGTACACTCAGGAGTTACACCTCAAATCTAGCCATGGGCAGAAAGGGGACCACACCTTAAATACAAAGCCAAACATTGACTATTGGTTGGTTATTATTATTAGCCCAGTTCAATCCATACTGACACAGTCTACACTATCTAATTAATACAAAGGAAATCTCAGTAACAATACTGCAGCTAACATTTGTTATCCAGGGAAAAGGTCCCGCTAGCTACCCCTTCATCTTTACTTGGCACAGAGAGCTGTGGCATAAACGTACCCCTTCAGCAGCTTCCTCAAGGCCTGTGGGCAGGGCTTTCACTCCTGGGGCATTGCAGCAGGTCACAATGTCCTGACGAATTTGCTGGGAGGAGTGTGATATGTGTTCTGAGAGGTTTTGACTTCTCCTTGCTGGGAAGCGGATGATGTTCACGATTTCGTCCTCTTCATTTTAGGATCTGCTTGAGGCCTTTTTTATGTTTTGTAGCATGCCTTGCTCTTCCCTCACCAGTCGGCAGCTCTGCATTGCGTATGACTTGACTGGATATCACACACTTTACATATGAAATACACATGTATACATATATGTAATATATATGTATGTATATTCATTTTCTTTTTCCTTCTGTCCTTAAAACTTATTTTGCCCAGCTCCTAAGTTTGCATCAGTGTTAGCAGCTGACCAGCAGGTTGCTGGTATCCCTGAGATATCCCTCAGCTATCATCCTGTGCCCAAACTTTGGAGCACTCTGCCGTCACCCTAGGTCTGTGCTTCTATAAGCTGCATTCTAAAACTGAAGTCAGAAATACTTCAGAATAAACAGTGCAATTACTGTTGTGCCTTTATATATCAAAAATATTAAGAATGGGCATTATACTCTACTATTATACAAGGCGAAGTGCAATTCAGACTAATTAAGGTCATAGCTATCTGGTCATAAAGCAATTGGTGTTGCAGACAGACAAGCTAAAACAAAGCTCCTAGCAACATGGAGCAAGTCGAAATAACACAGAAGCCCTAAGACCTATGTTATCTTAATACAAGGCTTATCCCCTGTTATTAGCAATGAAAATACAGTATCTATTAGGATACAGGGATGCAATAGGAAGCACTTTGTGTGAACTTTTTTATATGACTTCTAAGATTGCAGTGCTTTGCACGGAATTCCTTCTGTTCAATCAGTACCATCACTGCAGTTTCCAGTCATGGTATTAATCATATCTACCCCAACTTGGAACCAACATCCACAATCATACTAGCTATGCAGCCCTTCAGTAAGCTCAGTGGTGATTAAAAGTGTGTTTCACTCAACAGCTCATATGTCCAGTCTGAATTCTGAGCTTTTGCGGCTGCTATTTTATCAATCAGTACACAAGTTACCTGGATTAAATCCTCCTTTTTCTAACCATGTATCGATGTACTTACCATCAATCTACCTGGTTTTGAAAATTAATATTATTCATATTAACTGAAAGTGAAAAAGTCTGACAGAGCTTTGAGGCAAATCTACCCACAATTATTTCCATAGTGAGACAATCAAAACCACCAAAGGCATTCATAGACACTGAAACTGGGTTTCAAAGGATAGAAGTAGAATAAACAACACCTACATTAATGAAGAAAACAAAATGAGAAAGTACAGAAGTAAAAGCAAATGACTATTATTGCAGGCATGCTTCCCCTCATCTAGCAATCTTCTGGTGGTTTCTGAGTTGGAACAACTGGCTGACAAGCCCAGGCTTTCTTGCTATTACCTTTCATAGAATCATAGAATAGTTAGGGTTGGAAAGGACCTTCAGATCATCAAGTTCCAACCCCCCTGCCATGGGCAGGGACACCTCGAACTAAACCATATCACCCAAGGCTTCATCCAACCTGGTCTTGAACACCGCCACGGATGGAGCATTCACAACCTCCCTGGGCAACCTATTCCAGTGCCTCACCACCCTCACAGGAAAGGATTTTTTCCTTATATCCAGTCTAAACTTCCCCTGTTTAAGTTTTAACCCGTTACCCCTTGTCCTATCACTACAGTCCCTAATGAAGAGTCCTTCCCCAGCAGCCCTATAGGTCCCCTTCACATACTGGAAAGGCTGCTAGGAGGTCTCCATGCAGTGTTCTCTTCTCCAGGCTGAACAGCCCCAACTTCCTCAGCCTGTCTTCCTATGGGAGGTGCTTCAGTCCCCTGATCATCCTCGTGGTCCTTCTCTGGACTTGTTCCAACAGTTCCATGTCCTTTTTATGTTGAGGACACCAGAACTGCACACAATACTCCAGGTGGGGTCTCACAAGAGCAGAGTAAAGGGTCAGGATCACCTCCTTCTTTGACCTGCTGGTCATGCTCCTCTTGGTGCAGCCCAGGATACGGTTGGCTTTCTCATGATCATTTTCTCATCAACCAACACCCCCAAGTCCTTCTCCACAGGGCTGCTCTGAATCTCTTCTCTGCCCAACCTGTAGCTGTGCCTGGGATTGCTCCCACCCAGCTGTAGGACCTTGCACTTGGCATGATTAAACTTCATGAGGTTGGCAGCCCATCTCTTAAGCGTGTCTAGGTCCCTCCCTCTGGATGGCATTCCTTCCCTCTAGCATATCAACCGAACCACACAGCTTGGTGTCATCGGCAAACTTGCTGAGGGCGCACTCGATCCCACTGTCCATGTCAGCAACAAAGATGTTTAACAAGACTGGTCCCAACATCGATCCCTGAGGGGCACTTCTCTTTACTGGCCTGCAGCTGGACATTGAGCCATTGACCACAACTGTTTGTGTGCGGCCATCCAGCCAGTTCTTTATCCACCCAGTGGTCCATCCATCAAATTGATGTCTCTCCAATTTAGAGACAAGGACATCATGCAGGACAGTGTCGAATGTTTTGCACAAGTCCAGGTAGATGACATCAACTGCTCTACCCCGTCCATCAGTTCCATATCCCCATTATAGAAGGCCACCAAATTGGTCAGTAAACAGTCAATCTTGTGTAGTCTCACAAAAAACTGTATACATCTTACATGTATAGATCAAAATCCATAATAATCCAGTCGACTTTGTATGAAATCTAACCTCTTGGTAGGTGGGCAAGATCCTTCAAATCTAATTTACAAGATATGGGGAAAAAACAGATGGAAAAAATGCTGCAAGGTATTGAACAAGACCGGTCCCAACACTGGTCCCTGAGGGACACCACTCGTTACTTGTTACCGCTCTCCAGGTGGACATTAAGCCCTTGACCAAAACTGTTTGTGTGCAGCCCTCCAGCCAGTTCTTTATCCACCGAGTGGTCCATCCATCAAATTGATGTCTCTCCAATTTAGAGACAAGGATGTCGTGTGGGACAGTGTCGAACGCTTTACACGAGTCCAGGTAGATGACATCAACTGCTCTACCCCTGTCCATCAGTTCTGTAGCCCCATCATAGAAGGCCACCAAATTGGTCAGGCAGGATTTCCCCTTAGTGAAGCCATGCTGGCTGTCACCAAGCACCTTGTTGATTTTCATGTGCCTTAGCATGCCTTCCAGGAGAATCTGCTCCAAGATTTTGCCAGGCACAGAGGTCAGACTGACTGGTCTGTAGTTCCCTGGGTCATCCATTTTCCCTTTCTTGAAAATGGGGGCTATATTTCCCTTTTTCCAGTCATCAGGAACTTCACCTGACTGCCATGATTTTTCAAATACGATGGCCAGTGGCTTAGCAACTTCATTCACCAGCTTCTTCAGGACCCACGGATGCATTTCATCAGGTCCCATGGACTTGTGCACATTCAGGTTCTTATGATGGTCTCGAACCAGATCCTCTCCTACAGTCGGCCTAGGGTCTTCATTCTCACAGTCCCTGCATCTGCCTTCCAAGACTTGGATGGTTTGGTCAGAGCCTTTGGCAGTGAAGACTGAGGCAAAGAAGTCATTCAGAACCTCAGCCTTCTCCAAATCCTGTGCAGCCAGTTCTCTCGATAGCTTCCTGAGGGAACCTACATTGTCCGTAGTCTGTTTTTTATTCGTTACATACCTATAGAATCCCTTCCTGTTATCCCTTAACACCCCTAGCCAAGCTTTGACATTTTGCAGACTGTGCTTCAGAAAGGAACAATTCAACTCCCTTCAGAAAGAAAACCCAGATACAGGCTAGCAGGCAAGATAAGGCTAACATATTGCCTTAAACTTCTTAAACCATACTTCTGAGAACCTGGAAAGTAAGCTGAGCCTAGTATCCTTTTAACTCTACACACTTGAGGGCACAGATGGAACTTAAGTGACCTCATTTCTTTATGAAATGGAGATTGTCATCTACAAAGGGTAAATTCTCCGCACTTGTTTCTAGGCATCAGGGAAGGCAATCAGACTCTTACCACAGATGCCTCACATAGGTGTGTGTAATAAGGGAAGATGAATCAGGGCTTTTGTTTTTCATTTGCTTTCATTTTATTCTGCTTTGATTAATTTTTTGGTTGAAGGTTTTGAGCTCCTTCTCTCTTTATTTTTGTATAAATTATCTCAGGAGCAGAATTCAGTTTTGCTGAATTCCCAGTTGATTAAAAAAAGAAAGAAAGTTGAAATTAAAGCTTGTTAAAATGAAGTTCAGATGCTCATGAAACTACACCTGTTCCAAACAGTGAAAGTTAGCACTTACTTCACTTAGGCCAATCTTTAAAACTGTAATTTGCTCCAGTATAATTCAGCATGAGCAGAAAGACCTATTTTTCTTCAGCTAGAGAATAACCTTCTCAGAAAGCCTGTGAAATGAGTAACACCAGTTGAGAGCGTGTTGAGTAGTAAAATTGCAATTGGCAGGGGGAGATGTCTGCTTCTTAGAGGTTGCCTTTGCATCTTCAAAGTATACAAGCAGGTGACATGTAGATTTATAAAGATTATTATCCTGTCCTGTAACATGGCAAGATGGAGTTGAAAGTGCTTGCGTTTATCAATACAAAGCTGTTTTACTTTAATCCAGTAGATAAAGCGAAATCCCCAGGGGTTGATCCCAAACAGCTGGCTGCAGAGCTCCAAAAGGTTTCTCTACAGCAGTCGCCCCTGGTTGCTTCATCAGGAGTCGAAAAGGGATCTCATGTTCACTCTGGAACCACTTCTGCCACCTCCAGTGCTGTTCCCAGCCCTGGTCAGCCCGGTTCTCCCTCAGTGAGCAAAAAGAGGCACAGCAGCAAGGTAAGAAACTTCTCAGTTATGCAGCAATAACACTTTGATGACAAGAAAAAACTGCCTAATTTATCTTAGTGTAGCAAGAAATCATAGCACATATTGATGAATTCATTACTGTGACAGTGATGAGTATTCCTGTTCATATCTAAAATTTGGACAAGGAGAGGAGATTATGCAATGTTAGTATCTAAAATTTGGACAAGGAGAGGAGATTATGCAATTTATGCAAGGTCGTAAAAGATTGGGCCTTCTCTGAAAATAGATTTCTTGAACTTAGTTTTATTGATTTTAAATAAAATAATATCTCGTTTCCTTCTTCATTGCTGTTACTTTTTAAGTGCATTCTACATGGTGGTGAGGTACTAGTTCCACAGAATAAGCTGATATTGCTAAGACTGTAATTTCTCTCTCTGCACTAAGCTACTGTTTGAAGTGTTGCGAGCTATGAATAGTCATGGGAATACCAAGCATTTCTCTGAAAGCCAGGGAAAGAGTGAAGAATAGATTTACCATCAAAATGTGTTTTGTCACTAGCTCATTCCTGTGAACTTGTTAAGTGCAAGTTCTCATTTTCTTTACCACGTCCTGTCCATTTCTCAGCTGAACTTCTTTCTCCTTGCGCACCCTCCTGACCATGTAGAAAAGGCAGAGTAGGAATTTAGTAACATTTTTTCACAGTTGAAACTGAAAACTAGATCATAAAGTCATCTGTCACAGTTCTGCATTTTGTGTCAAAAATGTTAACACCTGAAGTGCAAATCATTCCTGTGAAAACTGCATTTGCTTAAGCAATTTGCCAGATCACTAAAGCTGATGGCTGTCCTGAATACCCAGCTTCTCACTGCTTTACTGTTGGAAGCAAAGCTTCACATTGCAGACAAGGTGCTTCCTACATATTTATTTCTCTGTATCTTTACTACTTCTTGGCACTGTCAAGTTCCTGCTGCATTATTGGTATGTTTGGGGTTTTGTGCTGTTGAAGCTGTGACTGTGATACAAACTACAAACGTGTTAGGTGCTGTACTGACCAAAATCAGCAAACAGTTCCTGCTTATTTCAGGTAGCTCCTCAAAATGCTTGCATAACTTTCATGTGAGAAGAAACACAAAAATCTCTTTCATACAGCAATTTAACAAGTACTGTAAATATGAGTTATACTGTAAATACTGTAAATTGATCAGTTTGTTTTGGATAGTAGCTCTGTATTGCCATAATTCCAACAGACTTTGGAATCAACAGACATCAGGTCTATGATGCAAAAGTTAAATCCATACGTCAGAATTTACTGCACTTAACTTCAGGGACATGACAGAATTGCCTAATCGTCAGGTAAATAGCTGGTTTCATTACACCTTACTCTGGATATTGTGTGCATCTGCATATGAACTGGTTTGCTACATGCTGTATGTTTACCAGCAAGAATAATGCACTTCTGAAGTACAATTGATGAGACTGGATGAAACCTGCCAACGAAGTGTGTGCACTGCATAGAAAGAGAGGGCAGGGCTATTAGTGCAGATGCTACTATCTACACTGAAACCCCTTCCATCTGATTAGATGAATCACACTCCTGAATTCACAGCATAGTGCATATCCGTCAATCCTTGATGTGCGCTGTATCCTGCAGAGGCGCCTCTCTCTGTCCACATGAGAAGACTGGGTTCCCAGCTTTGGCACTATAGCAGGTCACCTAAAGTTAGAAGCATAAATTTCATTTCCTGCTTCACAGAGGATTTAGTAATCTTTTGTGAAAAATTCAGCTGGAGGCTCATAAAGATGAAATAAAAAAATATTAAAACTAATGCCTTTACGTAGGGGATGCAAAAATCAAAACTAATCAGGTAAATATTTAAAACATTCTTTGCGTATTTCTGAAAATCATGTTGAGGGGCGTTTCTTTCATCACAACCATAGCTCTTGTTGATTTGCATAGTTTCTGTTCATTGCCTGCAGGCCGAGTTTATAATGGTGTTGAGCTCTGTTAGAAGAGAAGGCTACTGCTCATCTTTTTTGAAACAACTCTTGCCTTGGGATGACAGCATTTCTAGGCAGGCTGCAGGCTTGCCAAAGTATCACGACAGACTAAATATCCAAACTGCCTAGATCTTGGGTTGCTACTGTTCTTACTTTTAGCAAGTAATTCTTTTTTAAAAGCTTTTTGTACAGAATATACACTCCAGAAAAGTCACAGGAGCCTCTTTGATATTCTGCAGTGCTAGTTCTCTCATATTTAATGCTTTGTCCCATTACTACAGAGAGTGATAGTGCATAGCATTAGAACTTGGCATTAACAAGTTTCACATAAAGGCAATGAGAATCTTCTCCAGCAGGTGTGACGGCATGACAAAGCTCAAGCTCTTCTTACATAGTGTGTGTGAGTGCGTGCAGGCAGTATCAAGAGAAATTAATGTGAAATTAGATAAGCCTAACAGGAGAGGTTTAACCTTTTGGGAGCCTTGAGCTGACTGTATCCTGTGGAAACCTTTTTCTTTTGTAATGTAAATGCATGATCATTCTATGGTGCAGATTACATCTAAGATATAAATGCCCTATAGAAACATTTAATTGTCTTTGTATCTTGAAGAATGGGTTGTTTTTCTAAATCCTCAGATCTTTTAGCTCCTAGAGAAGTCAGCAGTGAAAAACTTGTCCTTTTCAAATTAATCTTCACTGAGGCCCTGACAAAGATAGGTACTTATTTGCATCTCTGCCTTTCACTCCAAATCCAACTTCAAAGTTGGCCCAGCTCTGAGCTGGCAGTTAGACCAGATGACCTCGAGAGGTCTCTTTCAGCCTAAATTATTCAAATTTCTTTGATAAATTTGGGTATTTCTTCATGGTCAGTTTTAAACCAGCTGACATCAGAGAGAAAACAAAATATTTAATATGCTGAATTGCAAACCAATACAGAGGTTTAACGATGATACAGAAACAAAAAAATACACATTTCTCTTTACAGACAAGTATATGAAAGCAAAGTAGCTAAAATGAACTCCACTTTAACCATCTTTGCAAGTCCCCACACAAACTTCTAAAAAATTAGAATATTTAGATTATCCAGCAGGGATTTTGTAACTGCAACTCAGCTAAATCCATGTTATTTTGTAGCATTGTCAGTGCTAGTATAGACCAAGGTCAGAACTATTAAAGTATATTAAAATCCATTCATAGAGGTAAAGTGTGAGAAATCTAAGTCATTTAAAGCCTTGCCTTAAAAGTCTGCATGGGACTCATAGCAGCCTTCCAGGACCAAGCAAGTTTTAGGAGTAATTTGCTAGCAATCTAAGATTCAGAACATCTTATGAATATTGATGACCTTTTTAGCTGTTAGACGGATGACACTTCCTTAAAAACATTGTAAGGTACCAAGAAATGCTGATTTAAAATAGTTCCATAAGAATTATTTTTAAGAGGCAGATGGATTTCCAAAAAATATCAGCGTTGGATTGTTGTGTTTTTTTTTTTTCCTGAAAAAGCTTGTGTTCATAAAGAAACACATCTAGAGGAAGGTAAAGCATGTAAAACAAACAAAAACTAAGGCAACACAAGACAATGAATATAACTGTGTAACTAGCAGGCTTAGACTTTTTTTATTCCATGTTTTCATTGCTCTAGTGTTTGGCTGGGATTTTCCTGGTTAATCCTGGTCTGCAGATCTGAGTGACTGAGGAGATGTTTCTTCATCACAAACCTGAAAAGAGTAGTGCATCACCTTAACTTTATGCTCTAGTTTGGGAGACATGAGCTCTGCATTGACCTAATTTAAATCAATTCATGTCCAGCTTCCTGAGAAAATCTGTAAGGGTTTTAATGGAGGGCAGGACAGCACAAAAAAGGCAGAGGGGTTTTACTCTTCTCAGAAAGTGAAAGAAATCCTAATTACACAGAATATGATGTCAGGATAGTGGTCACATCTGGAAACAGGAAAAGATGACTTCCAGATCAGTCTTCAGAGAACAGTAATTTTGTCCTTGTTTGCATCCTTTGTTTTCTGCTGCATCAACAAAGGAAGCAGATGTGGAGAGTATGTAAAAATATTCAAATCTTGCTACTGACCTGGGAGCTTTCTTACTTGACCTATGGCTTGCAGATTAGAGGTAGGTCCAGGGTGGCTCAAGGGCACCACCGTTTAACAAAACAGCATTGTTGAGAGCTCAGGATTTGAAGCAAATGGTGATATTATTTTCAAACTACTAAAAAAAAGGAAGAGAAGAAATGGGGAAATAAAAAGACCCTGAGAATTTTATTGCTTTTGTCAGCAATCTAGAGAAGCTCAGTGATACAGAACAGTGACAGAGAGGAACATGCACTATTATACAGCACTGAAAAGGGAAGGACAGAAAATTTAAATTTCATGTCATAGAAAGTGTGTGGAGGAATTTGAAGATAAGGTGATGGAACTGAACTGATTATTAGAAAACACAGAATAAAGCAAAGAGTATTATATGAGATGGCTTCCAATTGTGAAGTCCACATAAGCACATCATTCAGTTTCATTATCACTCCTTCCACTCTTTCTACATGCTTGCACGCAGACTCAATTTAAACTGCTGCGACCTTTGTCTTTCAATAGAAATATGGCTGTGTTGTACTTGATGTGGTATTTGGTTTCTCTTTGCTACATTCATGTTTGTTAGACACGATTAATGCTGTCTTTTTCTTCCCATGCCTCCCTGTGAGATCAGTCTGCTCAGACTGTAAAGACTTTGCTATTCAAGTTGTCTTATTTTGTACTTGTATGAAGGCTGATCAAAATGGTTGGGCTGGACTTTAAGTGCTGTTGGAATATGTTGACCATTAGTTTTGAGCATACAAATTGGAGACAACTAAATGGGTTTTAGAAATCTGTGGTGATACCGCAGTATAAACCACACCTACTGAAAAACTTTGAAACTCTATTCTTTCCAGTACAAGTGTATTTGAGAGTATGACTATGAGAGTATATACGAGAGTATATGACTATGTATTTGTTTATGCATTTTAATCTGGCAGCCCACAGAAACTACGAAGTCTGCTTCCCATCCAATCACTGGAGAGATTCAGGTAAATATGTGGTGGTTTTTGCTATGTAAATTGTTGTTGTTACTGGCTGCACTTTTCTGATTGATAAATCCGCAGGAAATCATCTCCATTAACTCATTTCTTATTCAACTCCAGCACCCTGAAATGTCACTCATTTAAGTCATTAAATGTCACTCATTAACTCTGTGCTTGATTTTTGCCTGTGTTATTAATGTTGGCTTGTGAAATGCAAAGAGAAGAATAGAAAATGCTCCTGCCCCTGAAGGGGCCAAAACCAGTGAAATTCATTCTAATCTTTAATTTTTTGGTAACATACTTCGGTCTACATTAAAGCCAGACTGTTTAGACTAAGCAAAGACTGCTGTGGATTTCTCTTGGTGCAATGTATTTATTTCCATGCAATGACAATTTTGTGTTTCTCTCTTATGTAAACTACCTTCACTCTAGCTTTTTAAAACAATGGAACTGGAAGCAGCATAATAAATGAAGCCTATAATTTCCTATAGATTTTTTGTCTTTTTTTTTTTCTTAAATAATCCATCTCTCTCTCTCCTGTACTAGCACTAAGGATCTTTCCATAGTATCATAGTATCATTCCTGGTGTTGAGCTTCAGGTAGTCAGAATTCATGCAATTCCTACTCACTAAGCCGGCTGTTGCTCAGAAACATATCAAGGGTTCAGATTTGGTCTGCTTTTTCCTGATCGGAATAGATCAATATGGCTGGGGTTATTTTTTTTTTTTTGGTTGGGTAGGTTGAGTTTTATTTTCATGTTTTTTTTTGTTTTGTTTGGGTTTTTTTCTAACCAATACTGGCAGACTTCAAAAGTAAAATTTGTTTCAAGATCCAACATAATAATCTAGCATCTTATTCTAGTCAGGAGAGAGAAAACCAAAACCATCTAAAATGTGTTTATTTCCAGCCAAATTAAAGGTCTAAAACTTCTTTCATTCAAAGGATTTAAGGGAGTTATTGAATCATTTAGGAAATAAAAATAACAAGTAAACTTACTGTGCTTGCAATTTTCTAGCTTCAAATCAACTATGACAAACACCTTGGCAACCTTATCATCCACATCCTTCAGGCAAGAAACCTTGCTCCCAGAGACAACAATGGCTATTCAGACCCCTTTGTTAAAGTTTATCTTCTTCCAGGGAGAGGGTAAGTGTAGGAGAAATTTTAACTTGAACTTTCTTTTAATTTGGCTTTGTTACTTGTTACTAATAAACAGAACTGAGAGTTATTGCTATAGAAAATCCAGGGGCAACACAAGGAAAAATGGTGGAGTTTTAATAGAGAGCCAGATGTTATTCCTAGGAGAATGTTCATTCTTTGCTAATTACCTGAAAGAGTTCATAATAATACCCATGGGGGGGGGTTGTTTGTTTGTTAGTTTTTTTTCCCCAGGTTTCCATTTAAAAACTGTAATACATGCAAAAATATGTATTAAAAGAACAGCACACTACTGAAATGTACTAAATACATGTAATAGTATCTGTAACATAGAAAGCTACATGTTATGTTTAACGTGGAATGATTGCTTCAGCTGAAGACATTTGGGACAGATTTGCAGAATGTAGAATACAGTATCTCAGATAAATTTGAGGTTGCAGTTTATATCAAAGGTGAGAAATACTAGTCAGAAAACGCTCATTCCACATTTTTTTTTATGACTTTAAGTGCTAAGATGTGTTTTTAACAATTCTCATAATCTTGTATCAAGTATCTAGACTATACAAAGCACTAATGATTTTTTTCAAAGTTCATTGCTTTTTTAGAGTCTGTAATTACAAATATTTCATTAGTGTTTCCTTTCAAATATATGTTTCTGAATCAGCAATATTATAACTCTTTTTTGTGCCCTGAAGTTGCAGAATGTCGTACGTATGCATAAGTATGTATGATTATAATAATCTTGTTGATTTCAGTGACACAGTAGATGTACTGGGTAAACTAAGTTGATGGATCAGATTTCAGATTGCAAAGACAAATTCCTGCAAACTTTTCTGCCTGTGTGAACATAATTATCCTTAAAGACACTTAGGCTAGGACCATGCAACTAAAACTGCATTTCTCTTCTATTCAAAGTAACAAGAAAGTAGATACTCAAGTCACAGTACAGCATTTTGGCATATGGACAAGCACCACTAGAAGTGCATGAATGGAACAATTAAAGGCATGTGTATGCTTTTGTAGATATAATTCCAGCTATACGGCATTCAATATTGTTCAATAGCACTGGGCCTAAATCGATTACTGAATATAATGCGAACAGGTCCTAAGACTTGAGGGGCTTTTTAATGCATTTAGGAGTCTTGTGAAATATTTATCAAATCAATCTTACTGGGAATTCTGACAAGTAAATTTGCTAATCTAGAAGTAAGACTTGAAACTAGAGAGGTGTTCACCCTGCAGAGGTCTAAGCCAGGTCTGAATATAAGTTTAAACTTGCTGCCAAGTTATGAAGAATTTGGATTTTTGTTTTGTTTGGTTTCATTGTTTTAAAACATGGCACTGTTATGGTTTTGCATGTAGATTGGGGCTTTAGGGAATAGTGGAAATGAAGAGCTGCTCAGAAGTGCCCAACTTCTTTTTTTATGAAAGCAGAAACCTAAATTGCTACTGAATACCTTTTATCTGTAGTTCAGTCCATGCTAGACTTCTTATTCTTACTAATGCCTCTATTTTCTTTGATTCTGATACCAGGAACTACCCATGATTTACATGTTCTCTTTAATCTCTGTTCTCATTGTCTCTCACACTGCTTCCTCTGTGTTCCTAACTCTGTAAATGCTGGGTATGCAGACAAGTCATGGTTGTCCAAAATGCAAGGTAGAGTGTACTATGCTCCAATTTTATTCTTTTATTTTTGTATGCATGCATTATACAATAAGCCTGTGCACTGAACTATAGATTTCTATTGAATTCTAGTGGCATGCAATTGCAGCATTGGTTTTGCTGTTCATTCTGTAATGAACAAGTCAGGAGGAACTAGAAACAAGTCATTAATGCTCCTTGATGCAGTAATATTCTAGGGCCAAACTCTGATGACAAACAATCTTTCTTTCAAATTCTAAAAGAATTTAATTCAGAGATATCTAAAAATTCATTCTCACTGAAAGCTGTAAAATAATTAGCTGTGAACTTGTATCAAGATTTTGAAAGATGTTACTACCAAGATAAACAGGCACAGTTCCGAAAATTGAATATTTTTCTCTATATACCTTGCACAGTGTATAGACATTAAATCCAGGTATAATTCTATCTAATTGCCCACCTGGCTTTAAAGCTGCTTTAACGCATAAATGGTTATTTATGGTAAGCAAAGTTGAATTTTTAGTTATTGACACTACTAATGCTTTGTTTATCCAGGAATTGGAAACATAAAGCAAAATTTCATTCTCAATATATGCTAATATCACCCCAGGCTAAATACATAAGAATAGTAATTTAACCTAAGCTGTATATTTAAAAGTAGAAACCTGAGTAAACGAGTCAGTAGATTAATTTTGATAAACAGATCTTCTCTATCGTGTCTGTTTCTTCATAAAACAAATTATTTAATGAAAGTGTTTAAATGCCACACTTTATATTGTTACTCTATTATACATTTTTAATTGTACTTTCACTTGCAACATGTATTAATAAACTATAAATAAGGAAGAATAGAGAAATGATAAAGAAAAGAGTAATGCAGTTTGGATCTTTTCACTCAGCATGCTCTGTGAATTTCAAATGCAAATTATTTCATACATTCCATACCAGGTATTGACTGGTTTAATGACTACATTTTATGAAAGCATGTCCGTCTGTTAATCACAAATTTGGGTTGAAAGTGCATCAGTGGTATGAACTTAATGTATTTCCCAGTTCCTTCCCTTTGGAGAGTTAGAAACCTTCAGCTGCCATCCAGCTCAACCTGCATCAGCACCTCCTTAGGAGTGGTCAAGGTCTCCTGGTTCTCTCTGCAACAGATCCTGACCATAGGTTAACATGAATGTGGGCTAATGCCACCCTTGCCAGTTTAGATCCAGATATTTTATAGAACTCACTGGAAATACTTCAGAATTACAGTGTTAACAACACATTTACCTTTTGTCACTGCCAGCTCTGAAACCCAACACTGCATGCATCACCTTCTCACCTATTTCTGAAAAGAATCAGAAACTTTGAAAAGGTGATGAAGTTATAATAATGCAAAAGGAAATCCATGAAAGGAAAGGGAATGTCCTGGTGTTGTTTTCTTGGATGAATGCACAAAGGATCCTTTCCTGTTTTCTTCAAAGATGAAAGTTTATCAGTTACTTAAAAACAGTAGATCATATATTTAGAGAGGCCTGATCTTTGTAATAGTGTCCTGGCTTAGTTAAGGTAAGAATTGAGTTGCTCAGAGTGTACGAGGAGTTTGGATAAGTTACTATTTCATTAATAGTTGATTACAGTAGATGTTCATTTCATGAGTACTGTGAGTCAAGTAAGAGAGACAGATGCTGCCAGTCCAGCTGTCACTTGCTCATGTCCTATGTCTCCATATGGGTCAGTCAAATCTCATTAATGCTTTGAATGATGGGGATACTTGTCTCAGAGCAGAGTGGGAGAAGAAGGGAAAAGTGGGAAAAGTGCATTACTGAATAGGATTTGCCATCAAAATTTAGTTTCTAAAAGGATTCATATTTTGTATTTCAGCCTTCCTTCCAAGATATGCAAAGTAATAACTTTTTGAGAGTTTCTTTTTCATATGCCCTTGGTCCCCCTAGCTTTTAATTCATCCTTTTCTTACTGACACACAATATAAAAAAACGAATCTCCCTTTTTTACTTTTTCCTTCAATAATACACCATTGTATGCCATGGCTGACAGAACAGATTGAACTGTAGAGATTTGCTGCTTTCTTCTCATAAGCAGCAGTAGACAGATACTTTGTTTCATGAGTCCCAATGCCTTTCACATTTTTCAAGAAACTGGAAGACAGTGGATGGCATGTTTTGTGAGAAAATAAGTGGAAATGCATAGAATGACTATAGCAAAATGTAAGAGCAAAAATAGCTGCAAGTCCCTTTCATTAAAGGGTATTATTCTCATAGACAGGTTGGATATGGTCATCCCTTTTTGGAGAATAAGGCCACTAGACACTCCAGAGTAATTGGATGGCAGCACTGCACAGTTGAATTGAGTCTGTAGGGTGAAACTGCTGGTTCTGACTACCCAACATTGATATATATGTGTCAGTAAAAATATGTGTCTTTCACATAACCTTAATTCAGGTCTGCTCAAATCTGGTACCATGCATGGTACACCACTAGTGAATGAGTCCCTGGAGTGCATCTTCTATGTTAATCTCATATGAGACGAATGTAGTATATTAGCTGTGAGACCATGTCACAGTATGAACCAAAACACAGTTCAATCAAAAGTCAGAAGTAAGAATCAGAAGAACAGTACACCACCAAAAATTAATGTAGGAGATCCATAAAAGAGGGCAGTTAATGGTCATTCTGCGCTATTTGGCCTTAGTGCTGGTGAACAGTCCTGGGCGCATTTAATTTATTAATAGGTATAGCACATGGGTTTTTTAACCTGTGGTGGTTTTGAACAAAAGAGAGGGCAGATATCTCGCAGACTGGCAAAAAGAGTTTCTTTACCTTGTTTTTTTAAAGTATTAAAAGCTTCTGATGTTCTCTTACCCAGCTCTTTTAAGGTGTCCATTAAAATTTATGCTAAAGTAAAACTGGAATGGAAGCAAATCTGACATCAAAGCTTAGATGAATCTATATTCTGTTAAAGGTTAGTGTATTGCTTCCTCCATACTTAGGAAATGCAAAGTACCATAGAAAGCACTACCAATTCTTTTTAAACAGATTACGCAGCCAAACTTTTTATTCTTGGCTATTGATAAAAACAATCATGAGCTTGACGCACTTCTGTGTTTGTTTCCAGTACAGTTAGAGATATATACAGAAACAGGATCAATAAGAAATTCGTGTTTCTATCATTAACAGGATATTAGTTGCCCTCTGGTATTCATTAAACATTCTTGTGAGATGGAGCTCCTGTAATTAGAGACTGCGACCTATAAAGATAATGGATTCACGCTACTTTTGAAGCACTAATAGAAGAATGGTCTTGGAAAAGAAATCAATGCATTATCACTTCAATTTATAATCAAACCCCAACATCTACAATGCGAGAACAAAGCATATGTGTGTGTGCTGACTGATGCTTTATACTGAAACAGTTGTAGGCCAAGCTAGCCACCTAAAGAGACAGAAGATGTTTTAAAAGACCATGTTGGGAAAAACTATTAAATAAAGCCCCCAAAACCCAAAGGCTGTCACTGTCCTTTTGCAACCCTGAGTTGCTGCTGAAAGGGAGATGCAATTCTTTTCTTTTTTTTTTTTTTTTTTGTAGGTGCTTTTTTTGTTGCATTAGAACTGAAAGAAACACAAGATCGCTAATGTAATGTTTCCTTCCTTTGTTCAAATTCAGTGCCGAGTACAAGCGGAGAACTAAGTACATACAGAAAAGCTTGAATCCTGAGTGGAATCAAACAGTCATTTACAAAAATATCTCCATGGAGCAGGTGCGTCGCTGGTAGTACTGTTCAGTGCAATTTGCTTCTTTATTATTTGCATGATGTGCAGTGCTTACTGTGAAGAGAGTGGAGATGCTGGCAATTCTGTGAACCCTTGTAAAATCTTGTCAGATTCAGGAGAAATGTGGAACTATTCCCTTGGCTCTGATAGAGCTTACTATATCAATACTCTTTTTTTCTGCTCTCTGCTCATAAAAATGGTAAGTTATGTGATTACACTCATAGTCATGTCATAAGTACGGATGTGGCAACTTAAAAAATTATAGTGGAATACATGGAGGGAATAAATTAAGCCATAAGTTTCTGAAGTGGATTCAGAAATCGCTGCCACTTTTCATTCCAAAAGCCATGCAAGCTCACACAAAACACAGGTCCTACCATTTTCTTATTCAAAAATATTTGTAAAGTGTAGAGATTCAGATTTAGGAGGGATTTACATCAATGGGCTCGAAATATGAATCACCTGAAAAAAGAAAAAAAAAAAAAAAAGATATTTAATTTCCTTGCTATAGAAAGATTTAACTCAGATCTGGGAAAGAAGTTTTTCTTTGTTGGTGGCTTCCTAACTATGAACTACAGGGTTTACTGGGACAATACGAAGAAATTGAGTCTTCTTTTTCTCCATCTCCTCTTTTAAAGGGACTTTTTGCTATTTGAAGAAGGCGTAATGGACAAAATTATGATCAGTCCATCTGTTTAAATTATGAAGTATATTTTATAGATTAATAGATCTGTATGCAGTGCTAAAGCTTTTTTATTCTCTTAGTGTTTTTTCTTGATAATTTCAACTTCATTTTTCAAGGCCTTTTAATCTTTCAGTACTTCTTTAAAAAGCCCAGAATGACCAGACTTTTTAATGAATAGATTTCCCAATGTTTTTAATATGCTTCTCCAACATAACACCAAGACCTAAAGATTGTCTTTCTAATTTAAAATTTCATTATTCATTCTTCTTGTTCTTTAAGAGGAACATAGATTAAGATACTAATTTTGGAGCATGGAGCAAAATCCTTCCCACAGAGGACTTGCATGGTTGCTAATGCTACCTACACCTCTGAACTTAACAGGCAGTAGCTCAGATTTACTTCAAAGGTGCCCTGTTGTATGTAGAGGCTATGGGTTGCTGGGCTTTGCATGCTGTTTCATGTAGGCTTGCAGTAATGGTAGCCCTAGGTTTTCTGAGTTTTGTGAAAAGTTTTGATGTCTTAACACTATTTCCAAACTGAGCTTTCCATTTAAGAAAGGGTCTTTATTTGCTTAATTTGTTTTCAGATTCTGCTGTGACATTTCACAGAGCTGTACTTAAGAGTACTTGGATGTTGAACATTCAATAGCTGTTTGATAATTTTAAATTGGATGGAGATCTTAGTATAAGATTTCTTGGACAGAGATTTTAATGCCAGAAAATCTCCTAATACTTTGGATGTCAGTTTTTGGATGCTTATTTGATGAAATTTGCCTTCAGGTCACATGCAGAATTCCTTGAACTTTTGCTATTTGCAAATCTCTTCCCTTTCCCTTCATCTGAGACTGTTACTCAGCGCTTATGATTATAAGCGTGTTAGCTTCACCTGAGCATCACATATGTTGTATATTTTGTCCTCATGTCACATTAAAGTGTGTGGAGAGGACAGTATTTCCTTCCACACTTTCCCATGCCCTGTATCTAGTCCTACGATACTTAGTAAAGTAAAGCACATTTCTAAATCACCAAATGATACCTTGCTGATGGCAAGTACCCTCTACAGTTTGAAGAACTATCATTATGCAACAGGATAACATTTGCACTCATAACCCTCATGAATGGGTATTTAAAAATAGGAATTTAAAGAGAAGTACAGGACAACTGTGATAGACTGAGAATGAGTGTTATGGTCACCAAACAAGCAAAACTGCAGAGTTATACAGAGTTAGCAGTGTAAATTAATGAACTTTTATACATATTATTTCTTCAAAGAAGCATTTCTTTTTCCTCCATCAAAGCCTGAGTTGCTTACTGACAGCAAATAAGTATTATTAAATATTTCCTAATAGAATCTTTTTAATATCACTGTCTAGACTTTAGCTGGTTGTGCAATTTTTCATTTTCCTTTTCTCTTTCACACCCTAGCTGGTATTAAAGTGAAAATAATTATGGGAAATAGATCACTTTTTGAAATGAAACAGACTTTTTCAAGGTCAGAATGATTAGTTTTATCATATAGCAAATTCTGCTTTGGCAGTTGGAGAAAAAAATAAAACTGTGACTATTTAGTAATTTCAGGTTTCTGTTAAATAATAAAGTGAAGATAATCACAATTTGAGAGGAAGACCAAGTACACACATTGCAAATATTATATAATAACTGCTAACTCCTGTCAAATACCCTCTCAAAGCATGAAAGAAAGCATTAGAATGATTTAAGGAGAAGATGGTGAGAGATGAAAGTTTAATTGCTGGTCAGGCTGTTGGCATAATGTATGACGACAGTGTAAGGTGTGGCTTTGTTTATCTTAACTCCTTACTTGTCACAAAGCAAGAAAAATTATTTCCTTAAATGATAGATATAATTCATTAAAGCAAATAGCTTTTGCTATAGCTCATGTCCTTTAATTCATGGTAATACATTCAGAAAGAGTAATATTTTCAAAATCCTTGAGTGATGTAGGAGCCTATGTCTTATTTCCAAAAATAAGAAAAACTTTCTTATGAATCAGTAAGGTATGTAAATCTTGCTTAATATCTTCGACAAGAGAAAAAAGGTTTCTAAATGATCTAGCAATAGTCTTTTTGTCCTTTCACTTACTGAAGAATAGGAATAGAGAGAGGAGTACAATAAAATGTTAAACATGAATGTAAACACAAGTAGGTATAATGCATGATCTAATACAACACATTCATTTCTACTCATCAAATATCTTGACTAGGACTGCAATCTTTCATATTATTTCTGAAGTAATTATAGGAATTTACTTTCAGTGTAGGAGAAAACTAAACTGCATTAAAATTATTTCTTTCCTCATGCAAATTTGTGTATGAGGTTTTCAAGGAATATGTATTAAATATTTCAAGTAATGCATATTTGGTTACATAGACCCTCATAATTTTTAAAAACACCCTGTGATGTCCAGATGTTTGAAACAAGAAACAGACACTTCGTACATGTGGTGTTAGTGATGTCTTCTGTAAGAGAAAATATTATTCACATTGACTGTTTCTTCATATTCCTTCATTTTTCTTTAAATTATGGTTGTCCACAGAAGCCAAAAGATAACTGGAGTTCACATGCAGTAATATGCTTTTAGGTGGGCTTTTATTATTTAATTTGAATTTATATTTTAGTTTTAGTTTTTCCACAGAAGCCTGAAATTAGTTGCAATACTTTTTTCAGAATATGCCAGAAACTCAGATGAGGCTTGCAACGTATGCACTGCTTTCTTTCCTTTAGGGACACTTTCTCATTTTCCTGTTGACACATTTCCCTCTTGCAGAAACCCGTGGTCAGATGGATAGTGGGTTTCTGAAACACATTTAAATATTGCTGTTGGTTAAATTCCTGATGGGGATGTGAACTTCTGGCTTCATGACCTGAACCTGTATGATGTAAGGCAGAAAACCCTACTTTGCTGTGATGGTGTAATGACTGCTTTTAAAATCACTAGCCATTGAGTCTCCTGTGCCTTCAGTAGCAGTACATAAATATATTTTCATAAAAGCAAATTTTCTTCCCCTTTGAAACTCATTTCATGCACTCTGCCTAATAAAGCTCTTTTGATGGTTCTTCATTGTCATAATATTTTATAAAAGCTTTATTAAACTAACAAGCTTAAAATAGTTCAAAGAAATACAGAGTACTGCAAGTTTTCAGCACAATTTTATTATCATAATGATACAAAGAAGCTGGCAAAGTAGGGTTGCAGTTACTTGTAAATTTCTCTATTTTTCCTCTTTCCACCAAAAATCCTTCAAACCTTAGCTTTGGTGGTTTTTCTTTCCTTTCCTGGATCAGCACATTGTTCTCTCTGTCCTTGAACAGTCATCACTTGAAACAAGAAGACATGTCCAAAACAACCATAATTAAGACAATATTTTTCTGAAATTACTTGTGCTATATTATTTGTAATACTTTTCTGAAATTATTTATGCTATATTATTCCCCTTTTTTAAAGGGTAAAAATACATATAATTTGTATAGCATCTACCAGGAAATTATATCACCTAGGAAGCAAAAAGTAGTCTAGATCAGTGGCTGATCAATTCATTTTTTGAGCTTATTTTTCCAGTTTATTTTTCATGTTGCAGTTTTGGTACTGTCTTGGAAAAGTAAAGACAAGGAATTTTATTCAGTCAAGGAAATATTCTATAGAGGATGCTCCAAAGAGACTCCTTTTGATCAACTTTTTCCTTAATTTTTGCAGGATTATTTTAAAAGTATATTTAAGAAGAATGGTGCCTAATTATGTACGGATAAAGCAGAAAGAGTAAAGAATTGCTCTCAATTTTACTTTTTTTAATCTTAGATTTCAAATTATGTTGTCTTCTTAAAGAGTACATTGTTAATGCTAAACATAGTACAATTCCCCTTTGTGTGGGGTTGCCAGGATATGCTGATTTAAACTTGTTTTTCAAAGGCACTGGCTTTACATAGTTGCTCATTTTTCTAAAGGTAGCTGGAAGCAGAAGATATTCCAAATACAGAATAATGAGATGAAATTATAATTTAAAGGCAATTTAAAGGTATTAAGAACTGTCTGAATCTGTTGCATTAAACCAAGGGGCATTGGAGGTAAATGGCAAAAAGCGCTTTTCTTGAAAGTACATATAATATGTACACTAAATGGTGTAGTTTAGACTTTGAACAATGACTCGATCCCTAGTCATCCCTATGTCCTAAGTAGCCAATTAATAGTTAAAGCAATGAGTGACACATTGCTTCTGTTAGGATGATGACATAAATTATCAGATAAAATTGCTGCTTCTGACCTCTATTTTTACACTCATAGGATCACAGAATGGTTTGGATTGGAAAAGACCTTAAAGATCATGCAGTTCCAACCCCCCCTCCCCCCCACCATGGGCAGAGACACATTCTGCTAGACCAGGTTATTCAAAGCCCCATTCAACCTGGCCTTCAATGCTTCCAGGGATGGGACATCTACAACTTCTCTGGGCAACCTGTGCCAATGCCTCATCATCCTTATCGTGAAGAATTTTTTCCTAATGTCTAACCTAAATCTCCCCTCTGTCAGTTTAAAGCCCTTGTCCTGTCACTACATGCCCTTAGAAAAGGTCCTTCTCCAGAATCCTTGTAAGCCCCTTCAGGCACTAGAAGCTGCTCTAAGGCCACCCCAGAGCCTTCTCCAGGCAGAACAAGCTCAGCCCTCTCAGCCCATCTTCATCGAAAAGGTGCTCCAGCCCTCTGATCATCTTTGTGGCCTCCTCTGGACTCAAGTAGGTCCACATCCCTCTTGTTTTGTGGCCACACGGCTGAATGCAGTACTCCAGTATGTGAAATAAGTCCCGTTTTCTGCCATAATGCTTGGAAGGTTCCAACAAATTCTTCACTTACAATTTCTCAGCCCACTTCACAGACATCCCATACTCCCAAGACTTTGTCCTTCTGTCTTTCAAGCCACATGAGTTTATTACTTCTTTTCCCACCACCTGCTAACCTTTTGCCCCATCAGATGACGTTAGTAATCAATCCTCTCCCCATCTGTCCGCACAGAACCCTGGAATAACATTCAGGTCAATCTTTCCAATAAGGTAAACTTCTTTGGTCAACAGCTTTTCCTTCTTGCACTGTCTTGTATAAAAAGACTTGTTTCTTACTATAGCCTTTAAGAAGAGTGCTTGACACAGTTTGATGTCTGCAGATGATAGTGGGTTTTGATGACTATCATTAATACCTAACAGTACAACTTACCCTGAAAAGACTCTTGTCAGAGTCCCATTGACTACACTGAATTCTGGGGATATAAAAGCCTGGTCTTCACAGATGAGATTGTGCAAGCAGGCTGCTTTAAATAATACATTTGAAATTCACACTCAAATGCACTTTAAGTGAATGTCTGAATTCAGAGAAGTCAGACCTGACAATGAGAAAGGCTGAAAATACAAAATGGGGCTTTAAAAATCAGTTTGGCTTTTGTAGGGGACACACATTCTGTCGAAAACAGCTTACAGAAATTCTTAAAGCAGGGCCAAGCACAAGCCCATTTGTCTTGATAACAAAGAATAGCCCAAGTTATTTTTCTGAGATCAAGGTTGATGGGAGGACAGAAGCTTTATAGCTGTCACTATGAAAAAGGATACAAGGAGGAGGTAATGAATAGAAACCACCATAAAGACTTGATCTGAAGTTTATGATGGCAATGGGTTAATCATCCTTTGGCTTAATTTACAGCTGAAAAAGAAAACACTGGAAGTGACTGTCTGGGATTATGATAGATTCTCCTCGAATGACTTCCTTGGTGAAGTAAGTAACTTATTGCCTCCTCTCTAACCCTGACGAGTTAGAAAGCTGATTAATTACATGCTATGGTATTTGGAGACTGTATGTGGTACATACGTTAAGTGAAACATTTTTTACATCACACTTTTACTGCTGACTTCATAACAAATTATCATGATTTCTTTCATTCACACATGAAAGATGCCATTATCCCAATAAACTGTGGACAAGTTCATTTAGGCCTCAGCAAAATGTAGCTTCACTAAATATAAATATATTTTTTTTGAGCCTGAGAAAGTAACAGCCTTTACAGTGACTGAATGGGGAATTCTTATTATGACTGATAAGCTGTTTGCCTTGATTTTAACATAACATGGAAAAGCTAAGGAAGAGTCAGTCTTTGTAAAAGATTAAAGAATTACATTTTGCCATCACACCATAATTTAGCATATGCACAAGCATCTGCAACTATGAGTAATTTGATCTTACTGATAAAGGTCTCATTTTTAACTCTACAAAATAGTAATATCATTAGCAAAGTATGACTGAACGCAAAATCTTGACATAAATAATAAATGAGATGAGTGATTGTGGGAAGAATGCTCTCTCTTGAAAGCAAATGTGGGAAGAATGCTCTCTCTTGAAAGCAAATAAACAAACATATGCACATATAATACTGAATTACCAGCAATAACTATGATGTCAAAAAAGTAGTTAAAATGTTATCACAGAAGAGGATTATAATTAGAAACAAGCCCAGGAAAACTGGTCACTCAGAGAGTATCTCAAAGTGTCTCTGCTCATTCTACATTTGAATTTCACAAAGAAGGCACTCAGTTCAGCTCCAGTTCCTCTTTGTAACTACAAAACTGAGCAATCAGTGTCACTATTTGAATAATTACTAAAATAAATGTATAAGAAGCAGCTACATGATTACTTATTTCCTGCATGCTGCATCAGTATTCTTGTTGAGTTCAGCATGTTTGCCAAATGCAGGGCTTCACTGAATATCTATGTCATTGATATTTAGAAAACAGATGCTCTGCAGCTGCTTACAGGAAGGTTCACACTTTTGCCTACAAATATTTTTAATCTCTAGAACTATTTTATTTATTAAATAATTCAGACTTAAATATGAAAACAGTTTTTCATTGAAAAAAGGAACAGAAAAGACTATCCAGTATATTTAAGGACCAGAATGTCCAGAGGAATCCTGTACCATAACATCAAATATGGGATTTCCAAATTGTGCCCTAAGTACTTACTTGAATAGGGCCAGCATCACTTATTTGCACCAGAAGGCAAGTGGCACGTCTTGGTTCACATCCATGGAATATGAACCCACTTCTACAAAGCTGAGACCTCAGCCTATACTGCCTATTGGGAACATTGTCAGTCATACTGTCTTCCAAGTCATTCACAAAGCTATGACCAAAACTGCAACAGGAAGCATGCTAAATAGTTATTCTGTTCAGATTAAGTATAGACCTAACTGGAAAGACCAAGACTGGTCATATACAGCCTATGAAGCTGAAATGAAAAAGGTGTTTAACCTTTTAGAAACAGATGTGAAGAGACTTCCCCATTCTTAAACTTGAAGATGCTTTCTTTTATATAAGGTCTTGCAATAAACATTGTTCTGTGAGGTAATTCCACACTTTATTTGTCTAGCAGTTTTAAAACTTCCCTATGTGACATTAGCTTTAATCCTCCCACCTCAGAGCCAAATGCAAGGCTATTTTTGTCCTTTCCTTCATTAAAGACTATTATGACTCCTTAGTCCTTTACATCACTTGCCCCCCTTAGCTATAAGACCACTAAAGGGAGAAAGGCTCTTTATTGGTCCCAGTGCCTATTATTTTTATTTCTTTTTTCTTAAAGAAATTTCACAGAACACCTGCTAACAATGCAGGTGAGCTAGAGCAGATTTTAGCTACAGTGTTAGGGCTTTTTTAGCCAATATTTTATTTCATTTTAGCATTGCCATTGCATCTTCCTTTCTTTTTTCGCCAGTGAATTTCAAGGCCTGAATGGCCTATTGAATTCCATTATTTTAGTGAAGTGCAAAGGTATTCCTATTCTGTTCTTTTTGCTACAAATTCTCAATATGTGGATTTTTTAAAGACTCAACAAGTACAGAAGGGAGAAAACAACACTGGTTCTCTTAGAACATGTTTATACAGAGGCAAAATGACCAGATGTCTTTTTAGTCTAGCTCTCAAGCTCGTGTTTGCAAGCTACCCTTTATCTAGCCATCTCAGTATGGAGCTATGTCTAAACTCATAATCCTTACAGAGGTCCTGCTGGAAGGTGTATTAGTCCAGACACATTGATACACTAACAAATGTGGGTTTGGGATCAGGATCACAGCTGATTTGTATGAGGTGAGGTCAGAGCATGGGCAGAGGGTCCTGGATCTCTTAGCATACAGCCTTATACCCTTAATTTCTTAGATTTGTTTGCATGGTCTGGTAACACAACTGTAGACCCTTCTGCTGTACATCATTATTATTAGACCAGATAGAGACCATATGTTGTACTTCTGATTTATTTGTAGGTTTTGATTGAATTATCCAGTGTCTCTCAGCTTGACAACACTCCTCGGTGGTACCCTCTGAAGGAACAGAGTGAAAACATTGATCATGGGAAATCTCATTCTGGACAGAGTAGCCAGCAATCCCCAAAACCATCTGTCATCAAAAGCAGAAGTCATGGAATCTTCCCGGACCCTTCCAAGGGTAGGAATGGCTTGGTGCACCTCTTATGAAATGTTTTCCCAGATGATGGGAAAACCTTTGCTATATGTAAGTTATAATAGAAAAATAAAGTTACTGCTGTGAAGTTTGTATACACTTTTATTAAAAACATTTATCTCTGTGATTAATTAATAGGAACCAAGGATTAATTTGCCTTCATCTGAGAAAGCCAGTTTAATGAGTAACTGTGCCCTTAAAAAAAAACAGTTTATAAGCTGTTGTGTTTTGCACAACTACTATAGATTCTGTGCCACTTTCATTTTTCTGGTAGCCTTGGCCAAATTCAATGCATATTTAGCTTTCTATTTTTTTAATGCTCATTAGATATTCTATGGCATTATATCTTCTGGAAGTGTCACATTAAAATTTTATAGTATAACAATTATGCTATAATAATGCATATGCATTTCCAGTCAATGATAATGGACTGTAGCATATCTCAATTGTATTGGAAATCAGTGGAGCTGATATAGGAGGAGGATTATACTGGTGTTTACAAAAGCAGAATTGATCTCAGTGTCTCCTGCTCCAAGAAATGTTATCTCTCCTTTCTTTTTTTTTTTTGCTTCTAAGTAGTCAATGTCAGGTTGCTCACTTAAAACACAGTATATGTGATATCAGAGCAAAAGCTATCCCAAATAGCACCCAGATAAGACCTTCAGAGTATTAAGACTCTGTTCCATCTCCTCTCTATTTCTCTGTGTAATGTTTTGCTTAGGATTTGTGTCTATATGTGAGATCTATGTCTAATTAAGAGGTTAGTCAAGAAGTTCTTGTAAGTTAGGCTATGGTTTTGGCCAGGGTATTAATCAGAATAAAACTACATGCATTAGCTAAGTATTTGGTACTGCTGTAAGTGGTGCTATTTAGTCTCTACATACTAGAGAAGTAGACATTGGAAAACAAATTAGTCTTTAGGCTACTCTATTATTCCACCAGTGTTAACCAGCACACGAAGTATAATACATAGGTGATAGAAAACCAATAATAAACTAATTATTTCCTAGGCCAGGAAAGAGTGAGTAAGTAGAAAATGGTGCTTCATAAGATTTTTCTTATCATGATATATCCCAAGACTTTGAATGGCATTTCACAGCTTAACCATTATTCCTTGTCCTGGAATGCAGCCAGAAAGAAAATGTCATTCTTTGGTTTTAATAAATGCAACAGTTGTGCTTCTTTATTTTCTTGGTAGACATGCAGGTGCCCACCATTGAGAAATCCCACAGCAGTCCAGGGAGTTCCAAGTCTTCCTCCGAGGGACATCTACGCTCTCACGGTCCATCTCGCAGCCAAAGCAAAACCAGTGTCACTCAAACTCACCTCGAAGACGCTGGGGCAGCCATCGCCGCTGCTGAAGCAGCTGTCCAACAGCTTCGTCTTCAACCAAGTAAAAGACGCAAATAAATTCCTCAGCATGGCAGCTTAATGTTCATCTGTTGCCTTTTTCCCTGCTGTCCTTCCCTTTTCGGCTATTTTCTTTTCTGTTCTTGGCACACTGTGCTCACTCTGTTCAGTGTCTGTGTGCCTGTGTGTGAATACATATAATTACAATATACTCTCGTATTTAGAAGTCTTTTATTTATTTATTTATTTTAATTTATGTAGACTGCAGTGAAACTGGCTGTTTCTCCATCAGTCCCTTCACTCATGGTTTATGATGTTCCATGGTTGTGCATGACTCACAGAGAATTCCATTGTGTGGTGGTGCTTTGATGTCACTTTGATGTCACTACCAATGAAATAATCAAAACCTGCAGAGATGTGGCTGCCAGTTCTTCAAGTTGCACACAAATGTTGAGAGCACATTAAGACAAAATATATCTATAAGTAGTAATCAAGGAGGAAAGTACTATATACGCAAAAGAAGACCTAAAGAAAAAAAGTTTTTTAACTACATGTTTGAGATTTCTATTTTTGAAACACAACTGTAAATATCTAGTTTTTTTTAAGGAAATATAAAGCAACCTTCTAACTATCTCAGATAATATGTTAATGATGAGTAGAGCAGTGTCCTGGGTTCAGCCGACAAACAGCAACAGACAAAAACATCTGACACATTAAATACGAAATTGTTAAACACACAAAAGCCATTAATAACATTAGATTTCAACAGTGTATCAAGTTAGCAAAGTCAAAGGGAGTAGAGAGCTAGGTCAGATGACATAGTCAGTTCCATTCTTCTAGTAATTTTTGTGCCATGTATTATTAAAGTCAAAATAGATTTCATCTGACAACTTGAAATAGATTAATAAATTAAAACTTTTCCATTCAAAAAGGTTGCTCTCCAGAATATAATTCAGACCCATGTCTGATTGCTAGTTGATGGTTTAGTTGATGGCAAATTAAAACTCTCTGATTGTGGAAATATTGTGTTTGTCTTCAGGCTTTGTTGATACGCCATAAAGTTACCATGGTATAATACAAAAAAACAGGGGAAAATCATTTCCCTTGTCTTCACCATCATTAATAAAGAAACAGCCAGTTTTAATACTCTTTAATGCTGTGCATGTGGTGTCTCTTTGGTGTTTGAAAACACTACTTACTTAAATACAGAAAAAAAACCACTTCTGTTTGCATGAATAACATTTAAGCTGGTTCCATCTGAGGATACATACTCTGGGTTTCCATTTCACCCACACTGCCACAGCAGCACATAAAAGCGGTCAGTCTAATCATGCCAGGAAGCAGCACAGACACAGCATAGCAGGAGTCCTCCCTATTCAAAGAACTCAGTCTGACAATCTGCCTCCACCAGCCAATGACAACAAAGACCAAAGCCAACTAGCCCTCAGGAAAGTGATGTCTGATGGACCAGTCAAGCCTGAAGGAGGTGAGCAGAAAGACATGGTTAAGAAACAAATCACATTCAAAATCCTTCTTGCCATGTCTACTAATTCATTGTGATATTTAATTATTTATTTTACCCCTCCATTAAGTGCTGTAAATGTTAACATGAATCAAGAGCTCTGCTTGATTTTTCCACTTCAGCACATAAGTCCAGAATGAAAAACTGTGATAAGAAACATTGCAAACCAATAAATGTGCACTTCCATTCCACTGAAGGACTTAGACTTCTGTTAAAAACGGTATAGATTTGCCTGTGTTGTTGCCTAATAAAAAGCATGCATCCGAGCTGGTCTGCATAAATATGATTGAACATTTCTTGTACTGTGACAAAAAACTAATTGCACATTTTTGCTTCTGGAATTCTAATTGGGACATTAACAATTTCTTTTTCCCCTGCCAGCATAGTTGTTATGTCAAAAGTCAATAATATAGATACTTTTTCAAACCAGCAGCGGAAAGGAGTATTGTATAGCTCAATCTCTGGATATCTTTACTACCAGCTTCTTAAAAAATGTTTTTTTTTAACTGTAGACACCTGTACATCAAACCTAAATCATCAATTTCTCCCCTCATCACAAATAAAGAGCCAGAATCTCAATTGGTTCAAATTGGCACTGTTCTTTTGACTTCTGGAGTGTTTTGATTATTTTCATGGAATCCGAGGGATTATCCCAACAAATTTACAGACTGGACTCCAAGATTTTCTCTTGGGCTGTAATCCCTTCTCAAGCTTTCATGATTCCTGAAGGTTTTTCTGTCAACACCATTGCATACTGTGGGCAGTACAGTCTGGCTGAGAAGGTTGTAGGAGTGTGACACCTTGAACAATATACCCTAAAGGCAATGAGTCATTAAGCACATAATGTTCAAAGTTGTTTGTTATGAGAGCCTTAACAACTTTCCATAATATATATCTATCTATACACTCAAACACATATTGTCAGACTCTGCAGCTCAGCTCCAGACATTCAGTTCAAGCAGGGGCCAGAGGATAACATGGTACACATTCAGTCATTGTGACCGAAAGGCCCATCTTATTCCTAGGATGTATACCATAGAAATCTAAATAATTCTTATGATCTTTTGAGGTGTCTTAGCTGTAGAGATTTATCACAAACACTTGCAGTCCTGTGATGCCTTTTAGCACAGACAAGCAATGCTTGTGATACATGGTTGAAACAAGGTTCACATACAGTTGTATGATAAGGAAATAGTAGGGTGTTGGCTTCAAGTACCTTTGCCACTGAACTTTTATACTTGCTTCTTTATTTTTAAAACTGCAAAAAAAAGATAGGTGTCGATATGCACTTGGCTCAGCAATATTAGAAGCATCATGGAGAGTTGTGGGAATAAAAGCCCACATTAATATCATTAATATATAAGTGAAGTTAGAGATACTGTGGAGAGACATAGTACTTTTCCTTTTACATCTGACAACAGCTTTCAATTTATGGAGTTCAGTGGAATGGAGAGGTGGTGAAGGAAGGAGAGGTTTCTCCTGCACCTTAAAAATTCTAAAATTTGTGATTTTTGTGAACAATGTTTAGGGATCATCAGTTTGCAAAACCATTCCTACAGGGGCACTGCATGGTTGTGATAGCCTCCTGCATTACAGCCTACTTTATTTTACTAATTTATTATTCCTTTCTTTCTGGAAAAGAACCCCTTATGAACTCATTTTATGGACTGGAACAGTCATCTTGGCTAGGTAGTACCTTTTTGTCAGTAAGTCTCAAAGCTTGTTATTAAGGGAGACATTACAGACAACCCACAACATTATTATAATTTTTTTACCATAGTAATTTCTCTCTGAATTTATCAGAGAACAGCACCTTTTCAAACAACTGCATATTTTTTGTCAGCCAAAGCACAAGAGGGTGATGGGAAAAATTCTATGATGTGAGTGATCTTCATCCCTTCTCTACCTGTGAGAATTCCCAGAGTTTCCTCCTTTAACTTAGTCTCTTTTAGTTTAACTGGGACTTGAAAAAAATAAAACAAAACAAGAACCCTCAGTCATTCTTGGAATGCCCCCAAGAAATCTTCTCTGCTTCTGACTCCTAGGATCTTTTCAACTGGATGTACTTCGTCAGTTATTATTTGTATGTCTGATGAGAAGTAAAAATGAAATCATAAACAAACCCAGCACGTATGGTATACATATTATATTTTGTGTATGCAAAAGACTTGCATCAGCTTAAGTTTATTGGACTGAACTATTTCTGTATTCATTTTAAACAGTAAAACATGTATTCTAATAAATCTGTTTTAAAATTAAGTTGAAGCTACAACAAAAAACATTGGTCTTTGTTCAGCACCTTTGTAAAAGCCAATATTCAACTGTAGCATTTCATTAAAATTAAACCCTGAAGTATAATCTTCTTGTTGCCTGTGAGAGATAAAAGTGTGATTTGCAAAGAAACCAATTGCATAATACACAGTCCCGTCACACCCCTCAGAAAGGAACAATAAGATTTCAGAGCCAAACTTTTGAAGGCAGGAGTTGCAGGGGATCCAAGCCAGAGGCAGAGAGCAGTGCCTGTGTTTGAGTTAATTTGATTTTGTTGTTGTGAAAAGTATGAATCATTGCCAATTACACATTCCCATAAAATTAAGCACATTGCTTTCAACATAAATCTGTGTATTAGAGTTTATACACCAGATTAGTCAGTTCTAGAGATAGTGTAAATTGGTCCACCTCCTTTTAAGTCAGTAATTTCTTGAACAGAAGGATAATTCCATTATATGGAATTTTCTTGGTAGGTCACTTTTGTTTAAAATAATTTTAGTGTTCTTCTAATATGTGAGCAGTTAGAGATATTCAAATTATCAGTTCTCTGGATATATGCATATAAAACAGTAGGTGCATTTGCAATATAGTTATTTATTGAATTTATGCAAAAGGCCTTTTCAAAATCAGTTTATAGTTTTAAAAGAATGAACTATATACTTTGGTTGTAGTGACTTCCAATACCATGTGTTTCAGTTAGAAGTCCAAACATACCTATTGAATTACCATTTAAGGTAATACAGACAGTATATTTCTACAGCAGTTTCTGTCTATTTCTCCTATGTTTTTTACTCAATAATAGAAAAGGTTTTTTCAGCCCCAAACCTCTGGGAATTTAAAATCACATTTTCTGGAAAACCTCCAAAGCTAATGCATGAACCCAGAACCTATTTATTTCTCCCATCTCAGAGAGAAATATTTCATCTTCTACATTGTAAATTTTCCATCGTGACACAGAAGCTTTTCTGTGGTACACACTAAAAGGAAACTACTTTCTAAATACTTGTGCCAAGTGATTTTACTGTGCAGAGGAATGTCTACTATGAAAGCCAAGATATTGCTAGCACATTAAATCCATGATAGAGATCTGAGCAAGGGCTGTGTAATTTCTAGATGCTTAGCTGTAAGAAACTAAAATCAATAGGAATTTTCCTTATCACTAAGTTCTATTTACTGGTGTTAGCAACAATGTTGAGTGAAAGGAAATTGATTCCTAGGTTCTATAAATCTTTTTTATTAGATATGATTATGAATTTAAATACCTGCTTATTTGGGTTCTCTTAGGTCTATACCCATTTTCACACTTTCAATAGGCAACGCCATGTTTTAATTTCCTAAGGTAGTTTAGGGTGTTTCCTTCACACTTTAAGTAATTCACTGTCCAAAGCTGGTCTATGCCTAGCTTCACTAGTCTCTTAATTTCCAAGTTAAATGGACCTTCATATTCCTACAAATAATACATTTCCAAGAATCATTATCAAAACAAGAACAGTTTGTCCCCACTCTCCACAGATACCAATAATCTGAGGCTGTCTTTTGATTCTTGTTTCAGTCTAATAGCTGGCACACTTTGCTTTGACTGTTCCTGCTATTTATTCTTCCACCATTTTAAGATGACATGTAATTTCAGGAAATTGCTCAGATTCTTCATTTGATAACTTATTTCAAAAGTCTATTATATGGTAGTCTAATCCTATGGAGCACATGGAAGAAAATTATTTCATCAGAATTGCTTTGCTGGGAAAAGGAATGCTATCACCACAGTTTGAGTGCTGTTCTGCTATTACTTCAAATCGTAAATAGCTCTGTAAAGAGTTGTGTTGAAATTTCACAAAATATCACTGCTCTGTGTGTGGCCAAAGCTGTGTCTAATATACAAATGTGAGGAATAATATACAATAATATTCAATATGAGGAAGAGTGAGGAAGAGAAACTTTCAGAACTTACCAGAGGTATATGTTTTTGATCACTAGCTATTAATGTATGTCCATTCTAATGACAGTTCACAAAAGATGCAACTAGTTGCCCCAACAAAAGGGTTTTACACTGCAAAACAGACTAAGCCTGGACAGTACTTGCTTTCAGTCCTATCAAACCCTTCATGAAAACAGGTAAACTGGCATATGGGGGCAGTTGGAGGTTTAAGCACTTGAAATACAAGTTAACTTGAGAGTGAAGAGCAGACAAAATTCTGCCAGAAGACGCTATGTGTGGCATGCCCTGTCTGTTGGTCAGCAGATAACTATCCAAGGCAGATCAGTGATTTCACCTGCTCCCATAGGCTTGCGTCTCTTTGAGATGAGTCAGCATGTTGTTATCAGCATTTTTTGTCATCTACAGTTTCTCACAAGGCCACCAGTTATGAAGAACAGCTTTTTTTCAAGCAACTAGAGGAGAATACTCAAAACTTAATTCTGAATGCAAACTCAAAAGCATTTTTCCCTCCCCTATTTTGTTCAGAAATAGGACTTTCTTTCCCAGTGGGTTTTGACAGTTTTATTTCTGCACCTGGTCAGGTATCTGAAAAGGGAAACAATTACAGTATAATGCTCAGAAGTGAATTCTACTTTAGTCTGCTGTTTTATCCAGAGGAACCACAGAACAGCATGGTCCTATTTTTCAAATTTAAGTCTTTAAAACAAAAAAGAAAGGTCCATTCACTGTAGAAGAATGGCTGGAGTGGCTGACAGTGCTGGATTGCTTCCAGTTTGCTGTTGACAGATTTGACAGGTCATGGCTATAGGTCTTGTGTGAATTATCCATATCCCTTCTTATGTTAAGTTCTAAAAAAGCACCTTCTCTGTTACAAAAACAGACTTTTCTGAAAATTAAGTGAAATCCTATGGCTTCCATTCTTTCCTCTCTTGTTGATTATAACACAATATTTTCTTTATACTAGGACAAGTTTTGTACATTTTCCTTAATTATAAAGATTTATTTTCTAACGGGGTCCATAGGCCAAATCATAAGCGAAAGCATATTTCTGCCATAGACACATTCAACTAATATTGTACTATGACTACTAATAATTTAAAAAACAATAAATTAAAAAAAAATAATGGAGCTGAAAGGTGAGGTCAGTACTAGCCTCAGTTTTCTTGAATCACCTATTCTTTTCCAAGAAAACGTAAGGGAATACATGGTCAAATATCATTCTGCCAAAGGAAAACTCGTTGGGATTTTTTTAGCTATAAAATACTGAGAACAAAAGGAATCTGCTTAACCATTTTACTTGTTTTCTTGAGAAACCCTGATCCTTCAGCAAGTATAACATTATGATCCACTTTCTTAGGTTCTGCAAGAATTACTGTAGGCAATCAACACCTCTTCCAACCCATTTATATACTGTTCGCTAGAATGGTTGAGCTGAAACTTTTGCTCATCCCATCCTGTACAACAGACAGGAAAGCAGCATCACTTAGAGGCAGCATTAACACCACACTGATAGCTACTAAATATGACATAACTACCCATTATTACACCTTCCAAGCAGAGAACATTTCATTTCACTGGGGGAAATACCAGCTAAAATATTAGCAGATGAAAATTAAATCAAATTACAACAGTAGCTTTGTATTTTTCTGCACTATTTCAGAAGAAGCAGCATATATTAGAGTTTTAAACTTTTATTTCTAATTTGGGTTCTTTGTAGTTCAATGTCTGGGCAGCCCACACATCACTGAAATTGCAACACGATAAACTGCATAAAAAGCTCATGGAGAAGGGGCTGGAGGGAGGGAAGTGGTATCTCCTCTCTCCCCAGAAGTGGCCAAATGATGATGCTGGGTAATGACATTCAGTTAAGCTTAGTCTCTTCCATCTGCTAAGACTTGAAGACACTTTTCTCTAAAAAAGGGAAGATTTTCATATGCCTCATATGCAATTGACAGCAAGGTCTTGCCTATGAGAAGTATTTAAAAAGTTTCCTAAGCTTACTAATTGTTTCTAAAAAGTCTTTTTTTCTCCCTAAGAACCAGGAAGTAATTTGAAAAAAATAAAGGGCAAGGAAGCAATGAAACAATCCTTCCATACTCTGTATACTTAAATGACGGCATTTTCCTTTGCCTAAGTTCCTATTCAGATAAATGTTGCAGATTTAAATAAAGCAAGACTATACTTTATAGTATCAGGTACCTCTGTGATACTAGAAGAGATTCTAACCTTTGGACCAGAATGAACCCATGCGAAACTATTCAACTCTCTACAGATCAAGGCACCTCCTGCCAGAACCTTTGATGTCAAAACCTGAGAACTTAGGCATTTTTAACATAGGCATCTGTAAGTAGAAGTTTTGTAACTGAGAAGTGAACCAGCTTTAATCTCACTTTAATTACTTGTGCTATATGTTGGTAGCAACACAACCGGGCAACCATGGTGGCAATTGCTCTGATACTTACAGGGCTTAGAGTCATAGAATCATTGAATACTTAGGGTTGGAAAGGACCTTAAGATCATCCAGTTCCAACCCCCCTGCCATGGACAGAGATACCTGCTACTAGATTATGTTGCCCAAGGCTCTGTTCAACCTGGCCTTGAACACTTCCAGGGGTGGAGAATTTATCACTTTCCTGGGCAACCCATTCCAGTGCCTCACCACCCTTAAAGAATTTCTTCCTTACATACAGTCCCTAATGAAGAGTCCCTCCCCAGCATCCTTGTAGACCCCTTCAGATACTGGAAGGCTGCTATGAAGTCTCCACACAGCTTCTCTTCTCCAGGCTGAACAGCCCCAACTTTCGCAGCCTGTCTTCATACAGCTTCATAAACTTTACACAGACTAGCAAAACAAGAGGAGTACCACAGTGAATTCAGACTTTCTTCTTAAAGTTCTTAAGAAAACATTTGTGTTTGTTCAAAGAGAAAGGGGAAGGCTGCAAATGAATGTACAAACTAGTCCCTTGCACGTGAGCAGGGACTTTCAATGCAGAGTATAAATCTAACCATGGTTATTTTAACCGCAAGACAAATTATTGCCTGGCAGCAAGCATTGATACATCTGCAGAACTTGGAAGTTTCCTATATAACCAGCTGTAGAAGCTTAAAGGTCCAGATTTTTCTGTAAAAATACAGCTATATAGAAAATATGTGTGTCTCATGTGTTATGGAGGTCTTTGTATCCAGATTCTTAATTTGTCACAAAACCAGGTGTAAATCTATTTGTGGATTTCATCTTGTCACAAACTGATTCTGTAGTACGTCGCTTTCATAAAGTAGGCAAGGAAAAAAAACCCCAAAATATTAAAATTCAGAATTTTCAAAATCCAGTCATGAATCTAAACTTGGATCCATTATAACCATTCACCAAGAGATCTTATGGGGGGAAAAGGCATCAGTATAGGAAAAGATGTAAATTAGTGAAAACAGCAGAGAAACTAAAAATACATCATACTGAATGTATCATCAGGATAAATCTGTTTCAAAAGAAACAGCTATGTTTTGATTATAAATAGATGTGGCAAAACTTCTAAATCATTTATAAAGGTTTAATTCAAGATTTTCTGGCTTGAACTAAATTCTAGGTGTTTACTGGTTTTAGAAATCCACCAGTAAAGAAACTGCTTCAGTCACTAGTTTTTACACCAAACTCAATAAAAATAAGAGCCCAATTATGAACCACCCTTTCAGCCACATATGTTATGAAGTTCCATGCTACATGAAGAAAATTTACGCCTAAGGGAAGGACTAAAGATGTTTTTTTTGTGCTGGCATAATACTGCCTTGGCTTCCATGGGCCTTGCACATGTATGACTTAAATAACATAAACAAATCCTCAGAATCCCAAACAAAAAACACCAGAAGTTGTACAGGCCACATAAACACTATAAGAACTAAGGTTAAGGATTAGTTTGTGACACCCACGAGATATCCCTCATTCAGGCTGTTGAATAGAGGGCAGCTGGCAATAATGCATTGTAAAGGAGAGTTTTACCTCTCTTCTCTGAAATCTTGCTTTTGCCCGACCTTTCCCAGAACCAGTTTGCTGACATGTCACCATAGTCATAGGAATTCACTATCACAAACTGAAAGTGATGAAGCAACCGCTGCTCACAGCTGCCTGAGCAGGACACAGTGCTGTGCTCTGGGTCTCTGCTGGAAAATATGAGTGGTTTTCTCTTCAGATGAGATACTGAGAGTATCTGTTAATAACATCATGATTTTACAGGTTATTAGATTTATTAACATTCAGGAAGATAACCTATGATCAATGTATAAAATCATAAAATAGAGCTGAAGAACATTTTTGTCTGAAAATAATTTAAACTGATAGATTCCTTCTGTGCCTGTAGGCAATAGTGAAACAGAGGAGGCTAATAGAGGCTTAAAAAAAGGTGATGTGGGAGCTCGGTTTAGCAGTGAAAAATCACTTTGCAGAGTAGTTCTGTCTTAATTCACAATTTGGCTTAAGGTTTGATGAGATGTGATAACATTCTTCTCTTCTAGTTTCAGTGAATCACCTTCAACAAAAATATTATTCATTCAGTCCAACGAAAAAAATATTTGTTGCCAGTTTAAGGCAAGATACTGTTGGGGCTCTGGCTCTTATTTGAAGTAATTTCCATTTAGAGATTTGACCAATTTCTTGTTTAAAGAAGAACATCTTTAAATGCTTGCATTAAAGTTTCACAGTTCACCAAAATAACATAAAACTTCATTAAGTATTCACAGAAAACTAACTTTACAAAAAAATATTTTTTATCTTCAGTATGTACATTCAGTCAGTTGAAATAGATGAAACATGATAATAGCAGATATAAGAGAGGACATTTAACAAAAAAAACCAAAATCTGTATTAATATTCCCAGACAACTGTGTTATTCAATATGATAATGTCTACTCTATTGTTCCTGTATTAATTATTATGTGTAATGTCACTGTGTCCTGTTTGGTTTATATTTCTCAACTTGCTAACGGCTGAATACTGGAAGATTTATTCATATTGTACAATAATATAGAAAACACAAAATAAGGCATCTGAAATAAAAGTAACACATGCTGGTGTACAGTTTCTACACCAAATGGCCTTAAATGACATTAAGGCATCTCCCATCAAAATATGTGCATTAATATTCTAGGTATGTGGTAAGAGAGATCCAGATAGGTAGGAGCAGTTGAGAAATATAATGCAGTAGCTCTGTTACGTCTGAAGAGGGATGGAGGTCTTCATACAGTCTCTGTGAGAATAGATGGTGTACATATATTTCCCTTCAGCTTCATCTCCTTCTCAAAATCACCAAATGCAAAGAATGTTTCATGAGGAATATAAGGAAGGCTCACTGTGACTTTCATTTTCAAAAGATTACCATATGAAATCTTTCAGATGAATAACTGGTTTTCTGAAACTTTAATCTAACCCATTGTTTTTTTTCCTTCAGGCTGTTGATTTGAACTATTAACATGACTGGAGAAAAAAAAAGTGGTGGTATACTATTTGATTTAGAACAGGTTATTCTTTGTGAAAATAATATCTGGGAAAGATGATAACACAATACTAGAATGTAAAGTAAAAAAGCAAAAGCGTTTGCAACTTATAATTTTGATAAATTAATTTTTTTCTTTAACATGGATGGTACAGATATCTTTCAAGGTTTTTGATAATCCATTGTTCCCACCCTGTACAGCAAGGTCTACTAATCACCGACCTGCAGAAAGTTCTGTCTCCACTGGCTCATCAGCCAGTAGCTTTGGCAGTGGATACAGCATGGATAGCGAAAGCAGCAGCAGTGCCACAGGAGATAATAATCTATTCCCCATCCCAAGAATGTAAGGCTTTTCCTTTAATATACTGTATTCTCTGTGCACTATGTATAGCCCTTTCACTTGCTAGAGTTTCTGCTCTATCAATAGAAAAAGTGTTGGATAGGCTGAGTTTTAAACTCTAGTCAAAATGCTTTAACCATAGGAACATTTACTCATGAAGCAAAATAAAAGAATTCAATGGTGACACTATGGGAAATGTTTAATAAGGTAACTAATTAGAGTACTTGCCAGTATTAAATAGTTATAAATATCAAGGGAAATTAATCATTATATACAGTTATACACAGCTGAATAAATCTTGTCAAGTCTTTCTATTTGGGAGATAATTTTTTAAAAGACTCTTATCCAGCTGTAATGTTTCTGAAAGTTATTTCTGCTATCACCTCTAATAAGGACCAGATTGTCTATAGCTTTGTATTGTGTAGCCATTTGTATCTGTAAAATTATATTAATTTTGAATTCAAAGGTGAAAAACAACAGAACAATGTGTAAGGAAACATGGAGATAAATAATTCTTGTACCATATTTGTAACATACGTCATGAAGGATTACCTCACAGAAGAAGACAAGATTAATTTTCAGTTAAAACTGAATTTAAAATAATTTTTAAAATTGACATTTTATACTAATTTTTCAGTTCATTGTGAACTCGAACAGCTTCTGTTTCTGCTGTGAAGCATGAAGCTGACTCCTTGGTAGCAAAGAATTGCACTGACTCTTTAGCCCCAAACAAATCACATGCATCTGAAGATAGTGCCTTATATTTTCTATCACAGCATTTCAGAGTCTTAAGGAAAAAAGACAAACAGAAGCAAAAATATCTCATAGTAGCAAACATGGCTTTGACAGTGATTATAATCATGCCTTAGAGTTTGCAACAAGTATGTTTAAAGACAGCTTATAGAAAAGCTTAAAGATATTTAACTTTCATTACCTAAAAATAGACATCCAGATTGTAATCCAGGCTTTTTTCTGGATTTTGCACATCCAGTGGAGAAGATATGAAACTCGAGAACATGATTTATTCCACTAAACTTACCTTAAGATTAATGTAAGTTTAAGAAGTAAATTTTTTCTTATGCAAAACCCTAAACTGCAATGTAAAAGCATCATTAAAAGTAGATATTGAACACAATCATGCATTGCCTTTGAAGTAAACATATTGTAGACCTAATATCAATTTTGATTCCTTATATATTTCAACATTCACTATAACAGGATAAAATAAGGAGAGGAACTGTGCAGGCTGGTTGCAGAATCCCAGGCTGATGGTGGGCACATAGCAGACAACACCTGAAGGCCCCATTTTGAAAGAATATACAGGTTTAGCAAGATGTGATTTCCATTGCCTCCAGACGAGGAAAAAAAAAAAAATCACATTCTTCTGTGATCTGTCCAAATAGCAGCAGAAAAGAACCATTGTCCACTTTACTTTCTTGAAATTAAAGATACATATACATACTGTTTTCTTTGAAATACCTGTGAGGTTTGTCTTTTTGCAGACAACCAAGCCTCATTAGCTTGGGTGTATAATTTACTTAGATCTGATCTCTTTGCAGTCTTACTGACACTATGACCGTATCTTTTAACAGAGGGAAGATGAGCCAGAATGGACAAGAACCAGTAAAGCAGTCGGGAGTAGGATTAACCGATGCAGAAGGTAAAAAGAAATACAAACAACACTACAGTGATATCCCATGTTCATAGAATCAATATGTTAGTTTCTTTTATTGTTATGTTATGAAAGATTATCTTATGCTCTCTTTGAATTGTAAGTTAAAATCCTGACCTTCATTTAATCAAAGGGCCCTTCACTCATAGTACCAATATAATGAGTCCTCAGTTTAAATGAGAACAGTGTTTTACCTGTTTATTTAAAGTACTTATATAGTTAGATTGCAATGAATAATATCTGTCTTTCAATTTTCATTGCATTTCATAGTATTTGAATAAAAAAAAATGAAGTATGGAGCTGACTCAATACTTATTAAATTAAAAAAAATATCTAATGGCTGCCGGGCTCTATTTTTATAACATTTCAGAATATTTCCTTTATAAAACAGTTATTATTTTGGGTGTCTACATAAAACACTAAGTAAAAAGGTTAACAGAAGATCAGGGTTAACTGCTGCACATAGAGAATAGTGAAACTTATCTGACTGGGAAATCCTGAGTGAATATTTTGGTAGGAATGTGGTGCTGCCAAAGAAGGAGACATTGTAATACTGGAGCTGGAAAGAACCCGACAGAATGGCTTTAAAAGTTTTATTAGCAATGTGATTATCTCTTTCATGTGTAATAATGGACAACTGCATGAAAAGTAAGAGACTGTTTGTATTGAAGGACATGTTAGGAAAATTCCATTTCCCTTTGCTTATGAGGTATATTCTTTCAAGTGTATGTTTCTGTTGACCTCAAACACAAAATTTAACTATGACCTTCCTTTTATTATGTAAATAGTACTTTTCTCATTTATATACATTTCAATGAAGCTTTATGGTATTACATAAATCATAAATTGTAATTAATATATATAACTGAAATTACCTTCATGTTAAGTTCAGTCTTAAAAAAAACAATATTTTTCAGATTTCTGCAGTCGCTACATGGGGAAATAATTGTTGTTGATATATTTGAGGTAAAAGTGGTCTGATGTACCACAGATCTGAAGAAATCAAATTAAGATTTGAAGATAGAACTGTAAAACTGTCTTTTCCAAAGCAAGAGTCCTTGACAGTGCACATGCATTCAGTACATATTACTCACCATCCAAAAGTAAAAATTCAGCTGCTTATCAAAACTTCAGTATGTTCAATAGTATTTTTAAGTATTTGAAAAACTATTTTTTAAAAGAGAAACAATGGGATGAAAATGGGAAATCAGGAATTTTCCATTTTTAATTTGTCATGATGTGTTTTATACATAATGATAATTGTAAACAAATAGCTTTTCATCATTTTGTTCATCATAAATTACCCTTTAGGTAAGGTTTTGGATCATAAATTTCAGAACCTAAAGACAGAAAATATTTTAATTTGATGTGTGCATCATTCAAACAAACTCAAGCAAAAAAAAACAAACAAACCCCAAACAAACTTCTGAAACTTTCTAAAAGATGTGTGTATAACATTTGATCATTAAAATTGCTTTTTTAAGCAAAGTCATGTTTCTGCTCATCTTCAAAATCTGCAAATAGTTGAAGAGCTGCAATTCCCTAATTTTCACTTACCTAATTGAGAACTCTAAGAGTTACAGCTCCAAGTCTGATGAGTGGTTCTTACTAAGAATTGTTTTGTTCATTGAGAGAAGCTTGGGTGGCCGGCCTGGTTTTTAGTGTCTGACTTCTAGCTGACTAATGTAGGTCACATCAATATCAAATGATAAATTAAACTAAAAGCTGGAAAACAATTCAAGTGCATATCAGTTTCACTATGTAAATATAATTGTCCTGTGGGCAAGTAAGTCAGAATGTAGAGGAACTCAAGATAGTTTACAGAATTATTGTGATATTCTTTTCGGAGATGAACAAAAGTGTATGAAAACCTTAAAGTCTTAAAGACCAAATGATATCTTTTCTGTATATCTGTGTTGTGGACCAGATGAGCTCTGCAATTAACTGGAAGTAAATATACATTGCTGTTTTTCATTAATTTGTAGAGAGTTCCCATGGTTAACATTTGTATTTTTGTTTACACATATGCTTTTAGTGGTGTTATACTTAAAAACCTTTTAATACTAGCACTATTTTTACATTTTCAGATATTCTTAATGGATAATGCCTGTGAAAAGTATCCTGTGGGTTGCTCTCTTTAAAACTGTGCAAAATAAATTCAATTGCTTACATATGCAGATCTACTGCTACTTGAAATGTTTTAGTCATTCAAGTCATTCACACAGGCCTGGCAAATATGGCAGGGTGCTTACAGGGACAGAATCTTTAAGACAAGTACCTGGAGGGAAAGAAAGGTAGGACTCTCAAATGACAATGAAAACTGGTTTCTAGACAGCTGAATCAAAACTGTTAACAATGGGGTCTGGGTTCACCTCACAAGGTTGACAGCAAAGTTTAGTCATCTATATAAGTGGAATCACCAGAGAAAAATATGCTCCTTTTGTAACCGTTTATCCACTACAAAAATGTGCTATTGTCATGTTGGGAATATTTTTTGTGCTATTAAGATGTAATAATTGACTTATAAGTAAATATTGGAAAACAGTACTATTTACATTGCTGATATAAGCGAATGGTCGATATAAATAACTTTGAGTATTGCTATGATAATCTTTGTTTCTCTGAACATGTCATGTCATATTCTGTATTTTCATACTACTTGATAATATAAAATAATTCAGAGTTTTGTTCTTGGACACTGTGTTACAGTTCTTTTTCTGATATGCATGGTTGCATGCTATCTTACCCTGAACATCCTGCTCTGAGCAGAAGAAATGCTTCATCTTCTTGAGCTTCAGTAATTCTTACGATGCATACTGTGACCTTCATTGAGCCATGCAAACCAATTTCTCTATTAGTTTCAGAAAGTGCGATACTTTTTGTTTAAAGATTTGTTATGACATTCTGTAGAACATTACAGAAATTACGGACAAAAACTGCATTCCATGTAAGGGCTGAAACTAACAATTAATATATCATGATTAATACCTTAATTCAGTCGTAGATCATGAATGGTCTATCTTCCCTATGAAACCACTCGACCAAAAGATTACAGACTATTTTTGCCCTACCCAGCTATTCATCCAATTAAGAAATAAATGGGGAAAATTATTTTCACATATTTCAAAAGTATGAATTTACAAGGCAAAACCAATCTGCCATGATTTCTAGTAAAAAAGAGGTATATAGGTAGAAATAGCATTTTAATTAAAATAGTTTACTATAAGGAAATTTTGAATCTTCTCATTTTGAAGGTGCTATATGCATGCAAAATATCATTCCTCTAGGTTTACAGACATTGAGGTTCATCTCAAATACAGACTTCTTTTGGAAAGATGAACATGCTGGTAAACATGACCTGGCTTCACCCATTCAGTATTTTTTTGGAGTGAGTGCGTACTCACAGTGTTTCTGTCATCTTCTGTGACCTCGTTGTTAGGATTTTCAGTCAGAAAATTGGAAACTTTGTATAGGAACAAAGTGGTTCCCTGCCACGTCTTCAAAGACTCTTCATGTCCTAAATACAAAATACTTCTCTAGATCGTTCTGCCATAGCTCAGAATCTTGCTTTCTGACATTTCCTGCAGTCCTTTGAGCATCATCCTTTGCGTGTATTAAAATGAAGTCTTGTAAGTAAGAAAATCTCTCCCTATATAAATGACTGAACCTGGACTGAAAATTGCAGAATATTATAGTAAAGCATATGTAGATGTATTTCCACACCTGAGCAGAAGGGAATAGATTTGTACTACTTTGAAATCTGATGATGCACACATACTTACTGCAGGATCACGTACTCGTGATATGCACTCATTGTTTACATACCCTCTAATGAACTCCTTCAGGGTTTTCCTTTTTTGCATGCTGTGTATTTGCCTGAGTTATAGATTTAAAAACAAACAGACAAACAAGATCTGTGATAACATCATGCTTTAACAGACAAATTTTACAGTACTGTGATTTCTATTTCATCTATTCAGAATACTCTAAGCTAAAAAACAGAACTTTTTTTTTTGTTAATTTTTGAGCTTTGTGGTTCATCAGTGTGGATTAAAAAGTAAGAAATTCAATTTTAACAGTTTAATCACTTAATTTTATATTTCATTAGCTAAGACAGTCTAATCTTTATTTATGAGAAAAATGGTTGAAATACCACATAAAACTTAAAGCAGTCTAGGAAGTCATTCAAATAACATTTTGGAGCAAAGGTGCGTGACATCTCTAAGTAAGGGACTGGTAATCATTTGACTTGCAAATTTTCTGTTATAGGTTTCTGAAGAATCCTGGTGAAATATTCATCCATGTCTGCATAGAATAGACAATGGAGAAAATTATCTTACAAACTGTATCACACTTTCCCTTGAAGAGACACCCAGGTATAATATGTGGATGAGCTCTCTTGAGTAAAATAAGTCATGAAACAAATGGGCAGCACAGGCTCAACTAAACACTGCCACATTCTTCAAAGTAATTAAAATTCAGAATAAAATTCATTCTCCTTTCACTAGCTAGAGTAACTCTTTTTTAAGCCAAAGGACTCACTGTGGTGTGACTGATACCAGACTAAGGGCTTGAGACATTGCTTGAATCAGGCTGATATATATTCGCACTTTAAAAATTTAGCATTTTGATTTTTTTTTACTCTAGTGGTTGAAATATCAGAACTATAATATTTGTCATTCTGAGGATGTTCAGAGACAAATGGTCTCAATTTTAGACCTTCAACCAGAAAGTTATAAGAAAGAGGAGGCAAAAGGCAGATGAAGGAAATTACTTAAAGCTAATCATGATACAGTTACTTATACATGCAAATGCTTTTCTGCCTATGCAAAAATACTTACTTTGATGTCCTGTTTGGCCAGGCTGAAAATAGGGAGCTTACTGCAGATGAGAAACTTTTCTTGCAGAAATCTGTATCATTTCACAAAAAAGAAAAAAAAAAAATCAAATCAAAATATGATGCTTGATATTCATGAAGGAAAGTTATG